GCTTCAGTTTTCAGTCTGTCGTCGAATTGTCTTTTGTATTTCGTATCACTCTTCTTCACTTCTTCACTGGGTGCGTTGTAGGTTGAAATCAGCTTCTCTACTGTCATCCATCTTTTCAGCGGTTCGTCCTCTCCTGGTCCACAATCCCTCCCTCCTCCATTAGCTTCCAGGTGTCCACGAAAAGTTATTTCTCGTCTTATGTCTTCTCCCTTCCTAAGACAGCTGCATAGGTTCTTTCCAAATCACTTTTACAGAGCTCCGGAATAATTCGTCGTGAGTTTCCTCAGTGATGCTACATATTTTCTTCGATTGTGGTATGATGGTGCATTGATATGTCTTTTTTAGTTTCATCCTTCATATTCGTAGTGTGCAGATTGATTTGTGATCTGTCTCCAGTTTCTTTGATGGCTTTCAATTTTTTCATGAAATATATGTGCATGTTCGGTGGGTGGGTTACATCGATATGAAATCTCATCAACACGTTATCTGTGGGTCAAATGTGCACGTCCGAACCTGAAGTTTCTCTTCAGCTACGGACAGTCTAAATTATGCGTGAGATGATTGTTGAAGTCGGAATGCACACGTTGTGTTCTTGCAGGTCGGATATTAGTGATAAAATTATTGTTTCACTAGAATATAGCATAAGAAGATGTTAACTAAAGCGAAAAGGAATTATGTTGTTGTCGTAAATTTCGAAGAGCGTCTGAGTAATTTTCAGGTAGACAGCTGACGACGAAACACTATCCATGCATATGTTATTGGTCAAACACCTTGCTACATACCTGCAAATGAATCGATTTGTGTCTATGGAATTTTGTTATTGTTGTGGGTTGGATCTTCGAGACGTTGGAGAACTATGACCGTCTGGTGAATACACACTTATGAAATAAAGAATGTACTGTGTACATATCGACTGATTGCAGAACAGGCAATGAGAAGACATGAAGTTGCTGCAACTCTAGTGAATAGACGGTAATTGCGACCAAATGTAGCTAATTTAATAGTTGAATAAATAGTGGGGATGACAATCTTTCATTCTGATATTTGTTAATCTCAAGGACTGGGTGGACGGATCTGAAAATTCTATAACAACGAAACCGAGTTACCCTTGAACAAGCTTTCAACTAGAGCGACACGAGTCCACGGACATGCTCAAAACACAGTTCACAAATGATACATGCACACCTGCGTTAATAAATAACAAATAATAGAATAAACGGTTTCATTCTGAAGAGGTTTCTACACACTGAACAGAATTGTCAGCCTTATTTATTTGGATATGATTATGAGCAATAAATTGTGCTCGAAACGTCATCAGTAAACATTACTGTATAACACTGTGAGACTTTATCAAAACAAAATTTTCCCATAATGGAATTACACTCTATCACAGTGCACAAGTTTTATTCTTATATCAATAATTTATTTGGAAACCTTCTCTCCTCTTCCTCGTGGAATTTTAACTAAAATATGATTCTATAGTATCTCACATAATTCAGTGCTTTTAGATATTAACTATGGACTATTGCTTTATTATATTTTCCCTTCGTCTTTTCGAAATAACCACAAGATATTCGTGAGCCAACTGAAAATCTACGGGAGTGAATTTTGCGCTTTGTGTAATTAGCTGAACTTTTGAGACAATAAGATTTGGAGAATCTGTGATGCATTAAAATTTTGTAACCTGGTAATTCAAGCAGGCTATTATTTTTTTGTATTTTCTCAGTCAAAAACCGTTACAGAAGAAAGTCGAAAGCACTTAATATTTCTCCTACAGAAGAACGACAAATCAAATAACTTTGTATATAGAAGATTAATAAATCCATCAAAAATTTATATGTCACCATTGAAATAACCTTACCGGGTTCTACACCTATAAATCTAGAGATCAGATTCACTTGCAAATAAGAATATCAAGTTAGCATCTCACTTTGCCTTGTTCTTCGTACTACTTGGTGGACAGGACGATAAGGAGAAACCTTTACAAGAAAGCTACATACCTCTACAGTACGTAAGGAGTTTTACTCTTTGACTCAGTCACAGATCCAGACATATATGTAACGATGATTATATTGACGATGAATCAGAAAATATGAAAGGCACTCTGTTACAAAATTTTTAATGTACTAATTTTGTAAAGAAGTAGATGCACGAAGGAATTGATAAAATAAAGCGGGACACAGTAAGTAGCGGAAAGCGTCATTTAAGAGTGGATTTCAAGGGCGATGTATCCAGTGGTATATTGTATCTCTAGTTGATTAGATCTGTTGAAATAAAGTTCATGGCTGCACCACTAAACATCAGTTGGTCAGCTAAATCTGTACTGACGATGAGCGCTAAAGGTAAATTCCTAGTAATGACCAAAACAATATGTGTATATAAGTTTAATTGTTTCTGTATAGTTGATTATGGCCGTACTCAGAGGAATTCACCTTTAAGCACTCGTGAACATATATTACTTGGGTTAAAAACAGAGTAACATAATGATTTAATAGTAGTATTTTAAGTCATCTGGTAGATAGTAATAGATTATTCGTCTACAGTCGTATTCAAAGTGCTGAAAATCTGTCTAAAGGTGAGCAGTCACGTTTCCGAACCATAACTGAGGCTACAGAGAGCAATAAAACCGAACCTATTCTGTGTGCAATAGATTGATTCATCCCTTTCGTTTATCTTACATTATCGTAAAGTTATCAGTGACGCAATCATCCCGTGATTTCGTGTTTCATTTTGCCCATCTTACTGCTTTCCATCTAATTTACTTCATGAGTTTATTGCAATTATTTGTCACCATTCAGACTTACCCCAAGCTTATGTAGTCTCTATAATTTGACTAAACTTCAGTATCTGACTAATTTATTTTATCAGTATATTTGTTATTTGTCATCTCTCGGACTTAATTTCAACGAACTCTATTTGTTTGTCTACATTTTGTACTCAAAATTTCTAATGGGCATCTTTAATCGAGCTATATTTTAGCTAATTGCAGATACGCAATCACGTCACTTAATTATCTATTCCCATTCTACCATATACCTTATATTCTTATTGATTATATATTTTTTATACAATTAAATGACCATTCTTTATAATAATGGTTCTGATAGGAGTACAATAATTACCGAATTCAATGAAGTACATTCGGCTATGAAATTCACCTGCGAAGAGGAATCCCAAGACAGAATTGCCTTCCTGGATGTCCTACTTACAAGAAAACCAGATGGTAGCATAAAAAGAAATTTGCATAGAAAAAGTACTTGGACAGCACAATATACACATTTTCACAGCTTCAGTCCTATCAAGTACAAAAGAAATTTAGTGAAGACTCTCAGCCACAGAGTTAGAGCTATATGTTCAGAAGAAGTAATTGAAGATGAACTAAGCATTGTATATGATATTTTGATCGAAAATGGCTATCTCGACATATTTATCAAGAAACACATGACAAAGAAAGCGGAAAAAGACTACTCACTATCTGTAAACAAGAAGCTTTTTTATATACGACTGCAATTCAAGGGCGATATATCAAGCGAAATAATTACGAAGAAATTGAGAAAATCAATCCGGAGAACTTTAAATGCTGGAGAACTACACGTATTATTCTCTATACGACCGATGCTTTTACCTCGACTGAAAGATGAAGTACCTAGACTAGCCGCTTCAAATTGTACCTCGCGCTTGTGGAGCGAGTTATATTGGCCGTTGCTCTAGGAACTTGATTTTTCGTCCTCACTCGAGAACATATCCCACTATGGCTAAGTAAAGGTGTAGTTAAAACCATCAAGAGTTCGATATTGAACCACCTGGTTCAAACTGGCCACAAAGCCAGCCAGCATTGAAGAGTCCTTCTCTATCATTTACCGGGGGCCAAATAAATTGCCAAAGTCATCGAAGCACCACATGGTCCAAACAACAGAGGCTATCGCAACTCGCCTCAAACAACCACTGCTCTGTGTTCAAAAGAAGCAAGTCTAGCACCTACTACTGCCTCGGCCTTCAGTAGAGACTATAAATTCATGAATTTGTAATATTATCTATCGATATTATTCATTCGATATTGTTTAAACATTAATGTTGTTCAAAGCACTAACTCATTCATTCACTATAATGATGAATTTATCTAAAAGAGTACTCTTTATTCAGTATCCATTCTTTTGAAAATTTTATTGGGCATTTTTAATCAATTAAGTGACCGTCAAAACTTGCGGACTATTATTCTCCCAAAGAGTGTTTCTGAGAGGATCCAATTCATTCTGAAGTTATTGCTGAAGATATTATCGTGAAAGATGAAGAATGCCTAACAATTAAATCATCCGGCTGAGAGAACACAACAGCACCACTTGAACTACAAATCCACCGGAACATTTATTCATATCCACTTAGCTTTCCAGTTGTATACATAAGAATATTCCTAATTTTCATTGATATCATCATTTAAACGTCAAGTTTTCTGAATTAGACCGCGGACTGATATCAATTAGTGAACCATTAAAAACCGTGGAGTGCTCGACAAATGTTTCTTTCTAGTTTGGGACTCATTGGAAGTAAGCATACTTTGGGGTTGGAATGCAGTACCTTCCGGTTACAAGGCAAGCTCATATACCATTCAGCCAGTGGGACGCATTTCAATGGCCACCTTATGAATTCTAACTTCTACCAGTTAGTGATTTTTAGCACGACCACCAAGCGTTGTTATCGGCGGGAAATCCATCCTCACTCCCAACTCGATGGACATCAATGGTTTAGACTTCTCACTAGAACTGCAGGAAACTCCGTTCTGTAGTAAGTCACTAGCGAGAATCGGATGAATGCCAAACTAGGATAAAACAGCTGTCCAGTAGTCCCTGGTTTTCAATGGTCCTCTAACTGCTGATATCAGTAGGGGGCCTGACTTGAAAATCAAATCTAATCCTTGTGAATCAGCTTTTTAAAATGTCAAGTTTGTCTGAAAAATTTTGTGATTGTAATTTAACAGAATTTGAAAGTTTAAAGTCGTTTTTTATATTTTCTACATCATTTTATTTATATTATTAACTTTCTGTTTTAATAAATATGTATATGAACAATAACATGACTATTAATGAATTATATCATTTAATTTTGGATCAAATTTTATTGTTTGTTCTTTTAAAAAGAGTTTATTATGTAGTACATAATAAATAAGTATTACTTCCAGGAAGAGTTCTTTGTTTTCGGCTTTAGTGATAGTGCTTATTTTTTGAAAATATGAAATGTGAACAAAACGTGCAATGAAGTTATCAGAAAACAAAAACCCACAGGAGAAGTAAATAGGTCTTTTATTTCGCCTTATTCTTCCTTCCTATAGAACAGTGACAGATGAACACTCAACGAGATGAATAGGCGAAACGGAAACACAAAATAGAAACACCAAAATAAAAAGATAAAGAAGCAAGTACTCATATACATATATAAATGTATTGTTCATTTTAATTAGAATTAATTTGTTTTTACACAAAGTATAACTGAGACGACAGACTAGAGTAGGACTGTGGGAAACACTGTGCTAATATAGTGTCATTTGTGTAAATGCAGTAAAACAGCATTCTCCGATATGAAGTGTTCTATTTTAACAATGAAGTTTACACGAATTCGAAGTAGGTGAAAAAAAAGAAAAGAAAATGGGTGAGAGAGTAGTTTTGGTGGTGTCAGCTGTTTTACAGTGTGCGTTTGTCTTGTGTATGTATCAATTTATGCAGGATGGATAGGTGATGTGTGCCTCTTACTTAACAAAAAAACGTTACTGACAAAGACGAAGCATAAATGTTACGCAATCCATTGGAACAGACAGGCTATAGGATATTTCTTCACTTCTGGCTTAAAATATGCATTCAGTTATTGATGTATGATTTAAGTAGGCACTGAAAGCTTTTTTTTTACTAGACAACGTAAATTTGATAGAAGAAAGTGAGTTTATTTCATGTACATATTTATTTATATATATCGTTAGAAAACAAGATAATTACCCTACATCACCTGTCTATAATATTGTGGTATGAAACATATCATTAGCAAGATTTTTTTTTCCTTTAATGCATTTTTTGGAGTTTTTCATTTGTTCCATCTTCTATTTTATTCTTTAGCTTACGTGAATTCGAAATGTATCTCATGTGATTTCTAATAATTTCAGTGTACGTGAATATCATCATCAGTGAACAGTCCATGCAAACACACTGTGTCTGTCTGTATAAGCCATTCCATGAACTGAAGCAATCGAAGAAGAAAGAAAATCGAGGAGACATCAGAATGTGTATATTTGTAAGTAGATTGATCACCCATCATTTGTTTCAAAGATAACCAATATTGAGCTTCATTATGAATAAGTGCTTATAGCGATGAAGAAGATACAAATGTCTCAACACATACTACTACCATTACTACAACAGTAGTATTAGTGATAATATGAATATTTAATTTTATACTTCTCAGTCATTTGATTAGGTTAAAGATTAGTGAAAGGAAGCTGTATAATGTACAGTCCAATATTATTTCTCCTATGCTATCGTTTATTTTAATCCAAAATTGTAATTAGATCGGTCATACTTTATTTTATAGAAGCGAAACAAAATCATAATAAATTTGAAAAGTGGTAACATGGACATTATACAAAACGAATACATTTTAATTTGAACGCTTTGTACAAGTGAAACTTATGTGTGTGTGTATATATATGTATAGATGTTCAGCTATTTAATACTCAGTGATGATTGCTGAATGACTGAATGAATTAATTAATCAGAACAAAATTGTCGGAACAATGTTTACCTGTAAAAAAGAAAAGGAAATACAGCTGTGAATGAAGACATCACTGAATGACAAATAAGATTTCAGAAATGATTACTTTTTGAGGGCACATGGTATGTTATATCAGGTATTAGAGGTCGATTAAAATGAAATTTAGTTTGACATCAGTTCTGTATGTTTTTGATACTTTTCGGCATGGCTTTTCGTGAACAATGAGGGAAGCAGTAATAGCGTACCTCTCTTGCCTGAGTGACTTTTATGTGCAAAGTTATCAGGACATAACAGACGTAGAAAATAACGAAACGGACTGCAACAATCAGTCGGTTTTCATTCTTCTGTGTTCTGAGTGAAATATAGGGCTTCAGGCTTTTGAATTTTCAGTAACGGGTTGGCATCGCTAGCCTCACACTCATCCTTCCTTCTTTATCCAGTCTACTATCGACTATCTGGGATTCTCAGCAGTGCATCTGCTGAGGGTTGAATCAGGACCATGTGCGCACTTGCTAAGGCTTATTCCAATGAAAAGCCGCTAGCTGCTAGGTAATTTCTTCGAGGTATATCGACACTTTTGTAATTACAGAGATATTTCACTAAAATAATTCACTTAAAATGTAACAGAAATAAATTTAATATGGATTGGGTGGACAGATGTGTAACCATAAATATTACAAAGGTGTATTTACAATAACTTACGTATGCTGAATTGGTTCAGTATGGACTATCAAGAGACACAGAGAATGCCTTACACCAACTTTCGAATTCTCGGCTGAAATTAACAAAAGCACAAGCAAAACAATCATTATTATATTTTTAAGTGATGGCTGTCAGTGGAGTCCACGACCCGCTTTTTGTCCTGTTTGGGACTAGTCAACTTGGTGTACTTATTTTGTGGTGAGTGATAGTGTTCCTGTGGTAACAACACCCCAGAAGTGGTCGCTTCATACTCTAGGGGATTATCCCCTCGGCTCCCAAGCCACAAGCTTCTGGTGTAACAAATGCGATTTAAGATCACTTATTCAAACCTTTTATTTCTCACTGATATATCAAAACATGACTGATCAATTATGTCCAGTAATATCAACAGAGAATCACAATAATGAACACAGTAATTGCAGTTCACAACTATAGATGACTATTAACAGTACTGATGGGAACTAACTGGTCAAAGTTATATCACTTTACTGTCCATCGTAACTGGTTTCAAAATGAATTCCTATCTTTAAATCATTTCAATCTCTGTAACATGCGCTACTCTTTGATGTCAACAGCATCCATAAATTCAAATCAATCAGTCAGTAGCATGTGCCCCGTGATGCGTTTATGCTGGCCTTCTTGACTAACATTTATAGCGTCAAACACATCACACATTTTAACCTGAATACTTTCAGTGTGTGAATTATAAATTGTGGATTTGAATTTCTGTTCTACGTTAAGAATGGAACCTTCTGCATAGAGTCTGTAACTAAAAGCTGTTTAGAAAATACTTCCCGAACGATCTAATCGTAATACTGATGTTTATTTGGAAGTTTCAACTAATTCTGTATTAATTTCCTTCTTTTCTCATAGGTTATATATCATTTTTATGATGTTGCATATTATGTACTGACTTAGGCCTTGTTATTTGTCTTTTTTCTTATGTAATCCCTTATTTAAATACCTCCCTTTGTGGTTGTGTGATAATATTGATACTGTGTTGATTTGTGACCGAGATATTTTGAACGAAATGGTGGTAGGTCATTCTGACCATACATTATCTGTGGGAAGTGTTTGGTGAGTGATTCTTCCTGACAGAGTTCTCATACCACCTGGATGGGGATAGTCTACTTGGTTCTTGGGTAATTATGACAGTTTTTTTTGATTAAGTAATTTTGTCCCACACTACTTGTTTTGTACTGGCGAATTCTGTGATCTGTGTAGCTGCCTAACGGCATCGTTGAGATGATTTTGTATTTTTTGTTATGTTATTACTGTTAAATGGTACCACTGATTTTACCACAAATGACTGTCTGCTTTTTATCGTCAGGACTTCACTGTACTAGGCGTAACCCGAGGAATTTTTGGCTAGCTATGCAGTAATACGCAAGGATTGGTTTCCGGCATTCAGAACACAACAAGGCCAGTCGACTTATTAATATGTTCTAGGTGTTGACAGATCTTAATTCTACTTGACTGAAAAGTGGATTTTTTTTCTTATGGTTGGAAAATGAATAAACTGAGTGTGCATAAATCTTCCCCATAATAGCTGAATGGAGCTCGCTATGGCCAATGCAACGGTTATATTTCATAGCTTAGGTTGATAACTTAAACAGTGACACTGAATTACGCCACCAGGTATTTAGTGTTTACTTTATCTATGAATAGACTTACTTGTCTTTAGGTAGGAGTATCAGCTCCATACAAGTTCCATTATGACTACCAAGTAGCTTTAAATGTATTGTTCCAGTTTTGCAAGTGACTAAGGCGTTTGCACTTGGCTGTGATGTACTGAATATAGTCGATTTGATATTTCTAATTCGTTCATGATTGAAGCGTAAATGATAACCACTTAAACTGCTTCCAGATCGAGAGAGATTGATTTTTTTCGTTGAAGTAACCGTGTTAGTACTTACTGCAGGTGAAACTGGTGAAACAGCAGTAATCGCAGTGGTAGCAGCAGCAGTTGTAGCAATCACAGTGATAGTATTGTCAGTGTCGGTGACGGTAGTGGCAGCTGCGGGAGAAGCAGGCAGAGAAGTAGTTTCATCTTCATTATTTTCTACATTAACTTCACTTGTAATAATGTCACTTTGAACTCTACTAGAATCTCTTTGATAATTATCAGTGCTAATAGCAGAATCATTGTTTGAAGCTTTCAAATTTTCGAATTCAGTTGTTGTTTTATAACGTCTGTGACGCTTATCCTTAGATGAATGCTTCACATTACTGCCGGCATCATCTGTGTCTGGAGAAAGATGATGTTTTGTTTTGCGTGTACTGACGCGTAGATCATCTAAACACGGTTCTATAATGCACAGTGGTTCAGCAGATATTGAATTTTTTGGGTTTTTCAAGAGATTTGTACTAGTACCAATCAAATCACCATTACGCTGGACAAATGCTTGCACTGAGGCCCGGTCACAGTAATCCAGGACTTGAAAACGTTCATTTCTGTGTGTGAAGAGAAAACAAGATAGAGTAACCGAGAGTTATGGTTATAATAAATAATAAATAAATAAAGCTACTCTGATCATTCACCTTTCATTTTCATAATTCTTTAAAACAGAAATGACATACTGTATATCGGAATTCTACCAAGACAGGATATCGTTTAGCCTTGGTTTCAAATTTATCATCCTTCGTCAGTGCAGTGAATCTACAGTCCTGAGGGAAACTACAATATCTTTCGCTGCCAAACGCTTTGACGGAATTACTGTGGTGTTTTTTCGGGAAAAGGTAATCAACACAATATCATCAATAATTGCTGAAAACGTCATTTCAGTGGTCTAATCCAAATATGTAGGTATCCGATTTCTGGGCTGTGTTATAATCTGATTCCTTGAGTAGCCCGACAATTTTCAATAGGTAATCTGAAAGATTTCTAGGTCAATGCACGCACCTTTTTACTCGTCCCGATATTCAGTGTTTATATTCAGTCAGACTAAATTCTGATGCATTTCAGTGAAATCCGAATTGGTCAAGAATGTTAATAATTCAAGCTACGATTCTTAGCGTAGGTATAATTCTAAACTGCATTGACATTGTAGACTTCTTGATACTGTACCTACACTTCTGCATAGGACTTTAGAACTTACAAATATATTTTACTGCATACAGTGCGCTAATTATATAGGTACTTAGAAAAACAAAATATGAGTCACAGCGACGCATTATGCATTGATATATTAACAGCTCAATATCTTCAAAATAACTCTAAGTCAAAAACTATAACTACCTACTTTAGTTATTCCACTCTACACTGGGATGTTTGATTGTCTAGTCTTTATTATTGTTACATTTATTGACCGTTGACTTCATGAGTGGGAATTTATTAAAACAAACAGTGCTCAAAATATTCTGAGACAGGAGATGTCATATTTATTTAACTAAAAATTAGGAGAACTGACAAATATTTTTGTTCTACTCAAGTATCTGTTGACACTCATCACCGAGACGTATCTGCATCCTCGACGGAATACATTTCCTCTTGAAGACTGGAAACAGTATAACCCAATACTGTGGTTAGAGACTGTGTGATTGAGCTATTTACGCAACCATACCACACTGAATATATTGCTTTTCTTTCAGTCACTCAAGGTAAACAACGTTGAGCTCACTTAGTACTTTCATGGATGACCGACTTAAAACACCAGGTGTTACCTGCTTTTCGCGAAATGGTGATTATGCAGTAGAAGGCTCGTTAGTCACAAGAGAGACCCGTGTTGGATTCCGGGACGAGACACTCCTAAACCTGGCTCAATTTAGGAGTGAAGATGACAACCCTGCCCATAAAGAAAACAACTCCCCGGCTTCTGAAACTTCAGCAACTTGAAGCCCCATTATCCACTCTGAATGTAAACGAACGAAAAAGACATATAAAGTATCTGGTTTTTAAATTTTTTTTTATTCAATACACGTTGTTTGACTGTAGCAATATCGTCGTAATCCGGAGGACTATACGATCCACTGGTTTATGATCTTATCACATTTGACTGAGGATAACCAAGGTATTGGTTATTTCGAGTAATCCAGTTTACATCCGTCATAAGATCAATAAGCCACTTATCAAAATAATATTTTCTCTGATGAAATGACAATAAATTGATATTTTGATGCATCCCATTCGACCTCCAAGTAAACGGATAGTAGTGCTTTCATTAACAAAAATAAATCTTAAGATGATAGAGCCTACAGTAATATTCCTGAAGGAGACAATCTTTCAAACATCTTCTAATAGTTTCTCCATTAAATGGTTGGAAGCAGTCGGCAGGAAGCCTTGGACCGATGTTTTGCACTTCGTGGCACTCGTCAGTATGACGTACCTACAATATTGAAGGGATTCATGTGCCTTCTGAGATTCTAACCGGCGTCACCCAGTGCTTCAGTCAGAGAGGTTACCACTTAACTATTCAGGCTCGTAGTTGACCTCCTGTGGAACTGTAATGGATACATCTGACTGGTCACTGAGTGGTAACTAATGTAGTGTGTTTGGTCCTTTGGTGTAGACCGAATTGTGTCAGTCAATTTTGTAATTCAGACACCCTTCTAGGCGGCTCTGCGTCACGTTGCACTCAGAATTGTTGTTATTAGATGCTTATTGACGAGTGCCAACACACACACGACATCTAGGTTCAAGGCTTCAAGCCATTTGCCTCCATCAATCTAATAACAACAGTTAGGCAATTTATCCTTCATTCAATAACTCATATTGATCAACCTCTGCAACACTGTATAACATAGCACAGCTGTCCTCTGATATCATTAACATCAAATGTGACATTTTGTTCCTGCTGATTAAGGTCGAATTATATTTCATAATGAAGTAGCCTACATAACACGGTGAAGACGTAGAGTGCTCACGGCAGACACTGACAACTGTTAGAAAAATGACTCAGTGTTAAATATTCGCTTTTTGATTTTTTTTGTATTGTGATACCTACAAAATGCATCCATCAACTGACTAGTCAACTTCATGCCAGTTTACAACACAATAATAGGCAATATAAACATCCCTCTAATAAAAATGAGTAAATTTAATCTACCAAAATCAAAGCATGAACTTACTTTTTCTTTCTTGTAACCAATAATAAATCATTAAATAATATTAGATAAAAGATATTTGGTTTACGAATAGCCAATTTCTGTAATACAGATAATCGTCCACTGTCTGATAAGCATTCGCGTAATTCACCTTCTTTAATAAGACGTTTATCACTAATTGCTATGCGCTAAACAAGTATAAGTGGTCATTAATATTTAAGGTCAGTGTGAAGATTAATTATGTATAGAAAATAAAATTGTAACATTATCAGTATACTTTGAAAGTTTAATTTATTGACCTGTGAGTACTTAAAGTGATAGGCATAGTATTACTATGAAACAAACAAAAAAAGTAAAATTTTATCAGTTATAAGTTAATATCCATAAACTGAACTTTGTACCTAGACTGATTTTTTAATGTGGACTTAGATTTGCATTCAATAAGGTTGAAATGTACTAGTTTAGTGGGAATCATGAGTGATATTCAACTATAACTTCGGAAGATTTAATGCGCCTTTGGATATCTACGCCAAGGATCACCTAATGCTGTGATCAGAGGTGTCAGACTAGGGAATCATTCAGACTGTAAGTGAATTCTATGGGAACCGATGACTAGTCATTGATAGTCATTAGTCATTCTACCAACTACTCTCAAAGTGCAGTTATTCATCAAGATGCTGTCAAATGTTTCTTTTTATCTCATATGGTTGTATATTTGAATTGCGGTAATCACATATTCATATAAACTGATAAAGCTCCAGAGTCAAAAGTCGGGATAACACCTGATAACAATTACTCTGTAGTTTCTTTATTTAAAATAAAAGTCCTAACTACTAATAGAGTGTATTACCAGACACGAAAGAAAAAATCAAAGTACTATTGATAGTAATACTCTGTTAACGCTGTTTTTATTCGGCTGCATAGTCACAGTATACTTCACAGTGTTATTATTTCAATAGACTTAGTATATTATCAGTGAAAATGACAGGCGGCACTTTTAAAACTTGGGCTACCAAAAGGCTGCATATAATTTCTCTTGTCCAGTTTGTTTTAATCTATTAAAATATGACCTCTAATAGTGTTTTATACACTCCCAAGTTGTAAAAATATCTACAGCCTGCTGGTTCACAAGTTTCTATCTAATAAACTTGGGTGGCAACATATCCCAATACATGAGATAGTTGTACTGGCTAGGAAATAAAATTAATCAACTGCTGTAAATGAATGTGAACATTGAACGTTTGAACATTGGCCCTGGCTGCCATTAGCGGGCAACTAGAAGGTGCGAATGATTCAGTCGTGTACAAGTTGGAAGAACGGGGAGGAATACGAATAAGAGTACGATACATTCCTTGCAAAACATTTGTTTATAGACTTTGTACAGATTATTGACTTTAACTGCCAAACAATACAATTTCTTACAAGTCCTTGTGTTTTGGACTCAGTAACTGTCGCTTCGTGCGTCTTCGGAGATAATAGGAACTTAGGGTTAAGTTCCTTGACACCTGCGGTCTTCATTTATTCAGCTATTATTATGTTCTTGGGTTAAAAATAATGTACTCTTGCACCTTTCTTAAATTGCTACCAACTGAATGTTGTGCATTTCCAGAAGGAGGCAAAGAAAGAAATATCAAAAGCGATTGGTTTTCGCTCCGGCTCAGACACCACTGTGTCACGAAATTTAATGTGAGTTACTACTTTGCTTAAAGATCTTGGACAAAGAGAAACTATTAAGCGACAATTACCGCTGGAATTTCTGTACACAGCTGTTCTAATTATTATTATTATTATTATTACTGAACTTCTTCAAATTACAAAGTAAGCATAGGAATTTCAAAACTGTATCTCTTAGAAGAAATCTACACATCCATGATTTCAAGAATCAGATGTGTAATATCTTTGAGTAAGACATTGAGTTTATTGCATCATCTCTTTGTCTTCATGTAGAGTGGATCACAAATTATACCATCAAACGTTTTGTCTCGAATGAAGCATTTTAGAATTGGATATTTAAATCATGACTAAAGATAACAGAATAAACTTAATTTAAAACTGTTTCTGTCTTCAAAATTACCAAACTGAACTTCAAAATAACTTCAGTTTACGTTAGTAAGTTTATTTATCATTTCCCAGAGATACGTGCCCATATATACTCCGTAATGTAACTTACATATGGTCCGTTAAACAACAGCATGTAAATGGAACAAAGGATGTGCGTTTCTTCTCATTCTGAGCCCACTGATTGAGTGTAAATGCATTTCAGTAGGCAACAGTGTACCTACGGAGACTGAAATCTAGCTCCTGTCGTTTTAAACATCATGAACGTCACTGTCAGTTACTGTCTATCTCTTAATAACGAATCAAAACTAGGCGTATCACTGAAGCATCTGTAACCGAAGATCATTAACTAGCAGAGATGGATAACTTCAGCAAAATGAAATAAATAAGCGAGAAATTCCAAGTAACTTCAATAGTCAGTTTAAGATGTCTGTCATACCTCATTAACTTGATGGGTTACACCTTGACATTTTAAATGATGAATACTATCTTAAAGACTCAGTAGAAACGTGATCACTAACTGAGATACAAATACATCCAGATGATTAGTGATTGTATATTCACTGCTAGCGATTATCTGTTAGAAAATAGCCATTTCACTTTCCATAAAATAATTAATAATCACATAAATAGAAGTTGAAAATATACACTCACCTTAACATTGTCCGGGAATTCAAGAGAGGAAGATAATGTCAAAAGTCGAGATTTTCGATCCATAAGTTCCTTCTCAGTCTCGCTTGCAGTCAAAAGCTAAATGTCATGTTAAAATTTTTGTTTAAATTTCGTGTTACTGATGGTTTTTCAGTAGTAATAACACGCATCATTGAAATAATAACGCCTCCACTGAAGTTTATATTTATTCATTAAATTGCAATCATAAATACACTGCGAGTATATTTATGACTTCAGATTCAGTAAAAAGTGTCGCATTTCAATCCGTCTGCCTATCGCTTATACTGAATGAGGAAAAGAATCATGCTTATTTAAGACTGAAATTAATGAACCATGGAAGAAGTACAGTCGGCTACATGAAATGTGTAATGTTTGCAGTTCTTTCCTCAGTGAACTGAACTGACTAATTATTCCCGAGATTCAAGCTTCTAGTATTATTACCTGAGAATCACTTATGAGGTAATTACTCGAACGAATATATGTTAATGTGTAGAAGCAAAAACCAGTGACGTACTTCCTTTATTTTGGAAGACTGATAACAAGAATGCACCTGCATGTAAGCGGATATTTATGCTATCACTGAGACTTCAACTTAGGTTCATATACTCCGAGAAGTTAAATTTTACTTCACAAACGAGCGTGTTGATGTATATATTTTTTAAAATGTGTATCATTATGTATTGTTGCTTGACCAGATAGAATCATGTACAAGAGATTATTTCGACCTATTCCAGTGAAATAGTTCTTAATTATTATTATTATTGTTCCCTTGGGTTCCTAGTGGAACATAGGGCTTCAACTGCACGTATCCACTTGCTTCTGTCTTTTGCTGTGCTTTTCACCTGCATCCATCTTAGTCCATACTCTTTCAACTCCTCTTCACACGATCTCCTCCATGTCACCCTTGCACTGACGTCCCACTCGCCACTTCCCTTTCGGCCTGGTTCCACTCGAGCAATAGCCTGACGCGCGCGCGATGTCACCCAGCGGCCTCCAGGCTCAGTGAGTGTCCAATCCATCTCCACTTTCCCTGCATATTTGTTGGTTGGCGATTGGTTCTTGTTTTGTTTGATCCCATAGTTTCTTGTTGGTGATTCTCTCCGGCCCGGCCATCTGATCTTCAGTATAGAGGGAAGACAGTGAAATAGTTCTTAATTACACCAAATTATTGTTTTATCATTCTAAGTAAACGTTTAGACAGAGATGATATTAACGATTCGACTCACTGTCTTTGTGTGAGAATAGTTTCTAATACTTCTCATAAACTGCTTTTTATCATTCAGTATTACAAATATGATTTTAACGGCTGTTTCTTCGAATCTTGGAATTCACTTTTTATCACTGAAGATAAGTGTTATTTCTCTAGTTAATGCTACCACGTGTAATTTGACTGATATTGATTTAATCGGATTTTCGAGAATGACAGCTTATCAGTATTATCATGATATTTTAGCTATTGTGAACTATCTCCAGGCAGAAGAATTACACCGAATGGTTATTACTGACATTGTTATTCACCTAAGATCTGAGTGGAGCATAAGAACTCAACAGCACACATCTCCTTTTTGTCATGTTCTCCGCAGTCCTCTTTAGCTGATGCTGCCATTGCCCATATACTCTTATCACCGACTAACACAATCTCCTCCATGTCGACTACGGAATCCCAACTCAAAGTTTCCCATGAGGGTTCTCTTTTAAAGATTTGCATGTGATGTCACTCAGCAGTCCGTTCGGCGCATGTCCGATACATCTCAAGTTTTTTTTTGGCATATTTGTTGAGCAATAAGTTTTTGGTTAGATTTTTCCTTGTTGCCAATAATTTTGGGCCATTTGATCTTCTGCGTCGAGCAAAGTCAGCTTCTGATGAAAGTTTGAAGTGGTCTGTTAGAAACTCTTTTTGTGACTTATGTGCCAAGTCTCTGAACCATACAGAAGCAATGACTTAATGTGAGTGTTAGGAACCTGAATTTTTTCCTGCATGATGCGTGCGGCAGTAGATCTCCACACTGATTTCAGGGTGATCAATGTCTGCTTTGTACCAATAATCGTGACTTTGACATCCTCATTCCTGTTGACTGTAGCTGTAGCAATGTTGACCGAATAAGAGAAACAGGTAACTTCTTTTTAGATTCCTCTCGTTGATGATGATTTGTTGTTGTAACTGGTTGGTTGTCTTCGTCACATCTATTATCTCAATGTACGCTTGAAGTCTTGTCTTGAGTATCTTACGTGTCAGCTCGTTGGTTTTCCTCAATAGATCTTCGAGTTTGTGCGACATTAGACATAAGTGATATGCAAAGTCCATATCTTCTAGAGTTTTCTCATCAGTTCAGAGTATCCCTATCTTACTAATCCATAATCCATTCCCCCACAATTAGGAATATCATCGGTGATAGTAGACTATCTTGTCTTACCCCTGTCTTGGCTCAGTTTTCCGTTGTGGATCACCTGACACGTGGCATTGTCATATAGCTGTTAAATGAGGTTGATATGAGGCAAGCCGTTGCATTGAAGTAGTTTCTAAATGAATTCGCTATCATTACTATTGAATGCCTTTTCAGAGTCGATTAGGCTGACGCAGATATTTGACTGCCACTCTATGATCTGTTAAACAATGATCTTCTATTCTTGAATCCAACTTCCCCCGGGCAAAGTTTTGCACCCGCAGCATCTTTCAGACTCGCCAGAATGACACAACTATGACCTTTGCATTGGAATAAGGTAAAGGCACGCTAAGTTTACGTCTGTTAGTACACCTCTACTCCTGGAATGTGATTCAAGACGCAGTGAGGAATAATGATGTAAAACTTGATGAGATTCCATTTACACTACACGGGAAATATTCTTCTAAACATGGAAATAAGGACAAATAGTTCAAAGAAGTAGGTGTTTTAAGCAATTTTATTCGGACACCCACATAAATGAACTCGATTTTTTCCATCATTGCAAACAGAGGTAAATCAGTTTGGAATGTGAGCAAAATATTTCAAAACAGGGAAAATTGAAGCAGAAGTAATCGCGGATATAAAAAATAGTCAGTTTACACTAGAAATGGCATAATACTGAAACGTATTTAAAAAATTAGGTGTTAATATATACAGCATAGGAACAAGTACCAAAACTTGTTACACAAAAGATGAACAGGATAAAGAAGAGGGCAGTTAAGAAAATGATACTAATGCTTATACTACCGAACCTACAAGACGAAGATATTAATAGTAGTAAGATATTGGTGATAGTTCATTTTGGAAATAAGAATTTCTCCTGAGCGCATAACTCCAGGCTTTACATATGAACGAAAACATAACATTTCGGGCAGACTTATTTTGTCTTTTTAAATAACCATGAATGCTTTCGCCCCACAGACTGAGTTTACAGTGTGGTACGTTTGTCTCATTGTCGAATAATTTGTTCATATTTCACATACATTCGAGACTAATACAGACCCTAACTACTACAACAGCTACTACTAGCAGAATTAATGAGAACTGACGAAATTCTTCAAAATGTTTGCGTGTTCATGCCAATTTTTAAGTGTTGTTCATTTCTTTGTTTTATTTTCTGTTAAATTATTCTATGTAACCCATTTCTAGGTACACAGGTTGTCTCAAGTTTCCCCTTGAATAACAGACAGATACAGTTTTAACATTGTTTTGAAAGTTTTGCTAATTCACAGAAGTTTATGTATGTGATTCATCCAACTAGAGATCAATAAATTTGTAGTGGATACGCACAGTAGACGAAAACTTTTGAAGACAGACAAAAAGAACAACACTTATATCTTACTCACAAATTCACGGAAACTTAATACAAAATGATATGTATTAATGTCTGAGTATTGGTAGACAAAGTTTTAGATTTATTTATTCACAAGACTGGGTTATACAACATAGTGACAGTTTGTCTTTTCAATTAATTAATTAATATATTGTGGAATTTCGGTTAGCGTAACAGTTATACTGATATCTATACAATAATCATATCATATCATGTTACGCTACCTAACCGTACATGAAATTGACAAATTCTGCGCTGACTCATTGGCTGACCAATTGTCAAAAGAATCAGTTTCCTTTTAGCTATGAATACTGGGGGTTGTTCACGAATACATAACAGAGCTCAAAAAAGTATCTAATCGACTATCGTCTCAAATGTGGCATAGGGCCTATCTTTCTTTTCAGGAAAAACGATTGATGATTACACTAATAATGAATCAACAAAGTGAACATGTTTATAAAGATGGCCATATAAACGATATGGAGAGTTTTCAAATGATATGTAGTCAGCTATAGGAAAATTCATCGTAAGGAAATCAAGCAAAGAATACCTTTCTCCTGCATCTATCGCATAAACTAATCGTACAAAAACTTACCCTATTCAATTCTCGAAGGGCGAGTTGTACATTTTCACGTTCTCTATCACTTGGTACACGAAAAGGTCGTTTTTCCAGTGTTTTATCCATAGAATCACGAATAACAGCATCTTGTAGACGTCGAATAACTTCAACCAATAATTTCAAGCGTGTTAAACGTTGCATTGGTAGTGCTAAAAATGATGTGATCAAGTTTTTTCCACTTCTTGGATGTGAATGCAGTCTTTCTAATGCTTCACGAAAGCTTTCACGTTGGCTGTAAAAATAAAATTCATCGAAATATTACATAGGATAAGACATGAAGTAAAAAACGATTTTTATTTCTACAAATTGTAATGTATTGATAAGTAAGCTGTCACTACACAGGCTTATGTGCTTAGAAACAACTGGAAGACTAATTTCAAAGTTATTTTGAGAAATAACGGTAGTGTGCTGTTAGGAGATTTTATTGTTGTGTGACATAAGTCTAGCATACTAGCATATTTCGGAATTCATATATGAAGCCTTGAGATCTACATTTTAAACAGTTTGTCAGCAGACAGATTATTCTGACAAATCTTGAAATGAAGACTGATACGAGAACATAGTCATTAGAATGATTAAGGCATTGAATTTGTGTTATGGTCCTTTGATTTCGGTGTGGACATTGGTTTGATGAAAGCTCATAGAAGCTAAGTGATTCACTCACAGCCTGCATTGAATTCACGTTGCACTGAGACCAATTTATTGGACAAAGAATTCTACGGTGAAAATACGACACCCTTGGTTGTAGATTTTATAAGAATCTGACTGATTGCTCAGTAAATCTCTTTAGAATTGGATTTAAAACAACTGTCCATAGCAGTCATCTGGATTTTTCTGTTACTGCCCATCGTTTACGTGTCATATTTATCTTATAGGGAGAGTGAAATCCTACACTTCCATCGCTATGTGCTTTGATACAATCAACGAACAGAAAAACAAACAATGACTAAATAAACTGCCTACAACTTCCGGTGTTATATCTTATTCATAAAAAAACAGTATCCTGTAAATTTATGTTATTTAGCGATTACGATGGTTATCAGAGATGTTGCCACTGAGGTATTAGATCCCTACTACGTATAACAACTTAACATTAGTTTAAAGAGCACTACAATTGTGAATCACCTAGCCTGATGACCGCACTGTCGACTTTTACCGACAGAATTCAGTAAGCGTTAATTCTAACAACTAATTTCAAGACTTGGTTACATCTTGGTGATTAGTCAATGTACAGCTTACAATCTTCAGTTTAATTCTGATTATAGGGTGAGAGGAATATCAGCGAAGTGTAATCTAAGGCACTGCTGAGTTCAAACGATAAAGAATAAGTATCAGCATTTCCATTCTTGAACATTGTATCATTCATTAAAATATAGAGTTCTCAAGGAGATTTTCCTAAATAGCTTATGTGGCTGCTTGGTATTATGATTTGACAACTATCGTTTCACCATCTATATACAGGCATACACTGTAATATTCATTTTTACGAGTTGATCACGGATTGATATCAGTTAGAGAACCATTGAAAACCAGGGAGTACTGGACAGGGAGTTTGGGAGTCGTCGGCAGTACGCACCAACTGGGGTTCGAACCCAGGACTTTCCGGTTACAAGGCAAGCTCGTATATCATTCAGCCACTGGAACCCAATTCATTGGCCAGCTCATGAATCCTAACTTCTAACAGTTCTTGATTTAGGGCGACCTCAACCAATGTCATCGGTGGAACATCCATCCTCACACTTGATATTTGGATGGACCTCACTGGTCACGACTTCTCACTAGAACTCTAGGAAACTCCATCCTGTAGCAAGTCACTAGCAAGCCTCAGATTAATTTTCTATGATATTAATCCGTGACCAACTCGTAAAAACAAATCTAATCCTTACAAACCAATCATAGAATAAAACTGTAATATTTAATTTAATTTGGACTTTTCGGTTGACCAGTTGGACCAAAGTGCTCAGGTTGATATGACGGCTCCTTGCGCCGATGCTTCGGCAAAGTTTGAGGACTCTAACCTGAAATAATTTGTTGGATGGTGACTAGAAAGAGTAACGATAGGTACTGGGCTCAAGCCGCAGTGGGAAGACCATCACTCTCTGTGGAATGCAGGCACACCCAGATAACGACTCCCAAATAGGACGACATGTGCACCCCGGATTCCACTGCTAGTCAACATCTACCAAGATACTTCAAGTTATACCCTGTAATAATAAAGCCAATCGTTATGTCCAGGACGCTACATACATCAGAAAAGTTTAGCATATCAAGAGTGATGTAATTGAAACAAAATCCTTTTCTGTGGATAAAGTTACCTAATTTAAAACTAAACATTTCCTCTCTAAAACTCCTTGTTTCCTAAGGTATTTCCAGCCTATTTAAGCATATTTTACCTGCCATTATAATGCTTAAGTTTGCAACAGTTATGGCCTAGCCTTCCTTTCTTCTACTTTTCATTCTAACTCTCACTCTCTCTGAAAACAATCGACTTCAAAAAAACTCATTTTTGAATATAGGTTTGCCTTTAACTAAACTTTTCAAGTTAACCCCGAGCTGTCAGACTAACAGTGATGTAACACTTGGTAAATAGAGGCGAAATGAAAATCTGGGTTGCAGTATTATTCGAACCAGTGTCTTCTAAATCACCAATTCGGTAATCCACTCGTTTGGATAGGAGGTCTAGCCTCTGGTTCAAACCCTACCATGACTTGCATTTTCACTCCAACTTCAGTCATCTCGCGTTACACAGATTTATTTGTTCAGCATTTAATAACAATATGATCAGGAAAGACTTTCATCGTCTTATCTTCACTGCATAACTTACCATAATGTGCGAAGTGTATCCATCTGATAGGTTTGATTTCTTAGGTAAGTAATATATGGTTCAAAATTGACACCACCAGCATGTTTTACAATTAAATCGCAGACTTCATTTAAAATTGGCATTCTTGCCTCCCATCTTGCCTCCAGATCACGCAAAAACCTTGATAATTAGAGAAATGGATTTATTATGAATGATCTCAAGTTTATGTTTCTCTGAAAGTAAAGTAAATATTGATAAAATTACTGTCCTGTACGGCAAGAAGTTCTGAATAAATAAATTTCTCAGTTCATGGTAAAATTGAAACCTGACAGTCTTGAAATATGTTAAAGCTTTCAGAATGGGAAAATACTGCTGTTATACTGAAGTCGAGAAGAGGGATACCGTATTGTTTTCATTAAGTTTCTTTGTATTACACCACAGTTATAATCATTCCAAGTATTCCTGTGATTCAGATAACAGAATTTAATGTCAAATTTCTAGAATAAATTATTTATCTTTACATCTGAGCCAGTAATCTTTTGTTTGATTCTGCTTGCGACTCCACTTTTACAGTTTCTTATCTGAATCAATGGTTAGTGTTCCAACGTAATCCTCATTAGAAAATGTACTTAGAATCAGGCAGGAGCAGTAAGGATTTGAATAGTAATTCCATATTAGTTATCTAGTAGGATTTATGTTTGATGTCACACAAAATCGAAGACTTACAAGCGAAAACCGACAAACTGGTCGAAGAAACAGCCGGTGAAGACAGGAATTCAGGTGAACAAAGACAAGACGGAGGTTATGAAAATAACCACCAACAACAACACCAAAATCCAGCGCCAATCACCATCAGCGGGAGGGATTTGAAAGAGGTTACTTCATTCACTTATCTAGAGAGGGAGCATTGTCTCAACTACAGGCAGTTGGAACGGACGAGGATGTCAAATCGAGCGAGAATCGGGGAGGCGAGAAACACATTCATCAACCTGAAACCAATCTGGAAATCTTTGTCACTGAGCATCAGCAACAAAATTCAGTCGGATTTTCAATACAAACGTAAAGTCAGTCAGTTCTTCTATACGGATCAGATCAGAAACTTGGCGAGTGGGTCACAAAGAATATTTCCAACATCCTGTTGCAGACCAGACCTTTATCAACCAACAACTTTCTTCGCTGGCTCTATACTGAAGATCAGATGGCCGGAAATAATCACCACAAAGAAGAAACTATGGGAACAAACATAACAAGAACCGATTGCCCAACAAATATGCAGGAAAAAGTGGAGATGGATTGGACACTCGTTGAGGAGGAGATCATGTGAAGAGGAGTTGAAAGAGTATGGACTAAGATGGATGCAGGTGAAAAAGTACAGCAGAAGACAGAAGCAAGTGGAAACGTGCAGTTGAAGCCCTATGTTCCACTAGGAACCCAAGGGAACAATAATAATAATGTCTAGTAGGATGATGAGACTTAACTGTCAAATATCGACTCAGTATAAGCACTAAGTCACTACTGAGTATTTATAGGTAACAGTGCATTTATAACTTATATGCCTAAATGGAAGTCTGATTTAAAGAGAAACACTTGTGTTGACTTCTTGAGTTGCATCAACTGAGTAACGGACTTAATTATATCATACACGCTTTTAAAGAGCACATGCACCCGCTTAGTTATATAGCTTATTTATTCCTAAAGGTTGTAAAATATGTAATATAATCCATCATATCCTAATATCACCCAGTTTATACATGTTTATACCACAGCTGAGCAAAGATAATTATGTATGCCAATGACTCGCGATAAATACACTTCATTTCGACGAAAAAGACCACACAACAATTACTATGGAATGTTAAACACCTCTGTGAACATACAAAATCTGAGTACTAATATTCTCTAGAAGATACTAGATGTACTGTAACACCTTTTTATTGAGAAGAATTGAAAAGAAGTGATTTATGATCTTTTTCCAGGAAAATGAATATCGAAGTAACCTTTTCAAAAGATGTCTTCCCTCGATCCAGCGGAATAAAACAAAATCATCTCATTCAACTTGAAGAAAATGTTTCTATCATACATGAAAAACATTTGTCAAATTATCGTTATATCACTTGGTTTTTCCTGAAAATACAGACATCACCTTAAAAGTAACAAGATCACTTCATTACATATTATGAAGAATAAGAGTCCTAACATCAATAGAAGACAAAGTCCTTCTGAGCAACTATGGAATATGTAAGCAATCTGAAAATCGAAAGTAAAAAGAATTCCACAGAAATCGATGACATCGCGTCGTAACCGGAAGGTCTTGAAATCAAATTACGGTGCTTACTGTGAAGAGTCCCAAACCAGGAGGAAACAGCTGTGTTCAGTAATCACAGGTTTTCCAACGGTTATCAAACAGATGTCAGTTTATGATGAAATCCTGTAACAAATTTCAGGAGCCTGATACTCAGATGAAGTTTTAACTGAGAGAATTGCTGAAATAAGTTAAACTGACCAATAAACAAAGCAGATATAACACAATCAAAATATCACATATCATGTTAGCAGGACGATCAATATCAGTAAAAGTGAATACAGCTGCAATCAGGGTCATCACAAATGACACTTGTATAATTCATGTGGGTTTAACAACTCACTCTGCAATGTATTTAACCTTGAAGAAGGTTTCCAGAAGGTCAATGAAAGCCCCATAATCAAGTGATATAGTTCAGTGAATAAAATAACACCATAAACATCTACTGGAACTACACATTTTCTTCCTTATTTCAATACATATTATACTATATGACATCAAATAACATCATCTCGGGTAATGTGTTAATGTAAGCATACAACAATCGGTTTCTACACTTACTCTTGAGAACATTCGATTCAATGAAAAACTCAGTTGTATAAATAGTCTGAAAAAAGATTATAAGTTTCCAGACCGTAGGTGTTACGAACTTCCTAGGATCATTTGAGCGCCCAGTCAGATTGATTCATTATAAATTATTTAAATTAATCCCAGCGTGTTAAGAAAATCAAAACAAGATTTATTCTGAACTTTTCAATATGTAAGCCACAGTTTCTTCAGCAGATTTATTTGACATTACCAGAGGCATAAAAATCTTGTTTTGATTTCCTTAACACGCTGGAATTAATTTAAATAATTTGTAATGAGTCTGAAAAAGAATTTGGACATATTTTTAAAATAATTTGTCAAGTTTACACTGAAAATCACGAGGATAAACTAATCTTTTCTTTTGAAAAGATCACTGGAATTAGAAAGTAAATATCTACTCTTTATATTAAAATTATGAGTTGTTGGATGTGAACAGGTTCCATAACTAAATGTGTACGTTAAGGTGAATCACCTTGACTATAATTTATTATAATAATAGCTTCATTCTGAACAGCATGTTTGCATACAGTACAGAATTTTAAGCTTGGTTTTATCTACTACTTATACAGAACAGAACAGTAGTTTACTTTCTGTGATCCTATGGAATTTTGTTCTCTCTGTAACATGCACCTACGCCTCGTTTTTTTAGCCCTTCAAAGTACACCTAACGGTGTGGTAGAAGCCACATAAAAGTCCACGTGGATGTAGATTGTTCTTCAGCAAAGTAAGTGGTTGGTTCAAACAATGTATAACAGTGCAAAATTAGTCAACCCAGTGATTTTCACAGGCCTCTCATATCCGCTAAATCACCTTCTTTATTACTTAATTTTTTCTCAACTATTGTATGTAATCTAATTTTTTTTATTATAGCTTGATTTCACACTGTATTTTTGGCACAGGCATCGAATTTCCAGCATGTGATATCGGTAGCCCAATTTGGCAGGCCAACCGTCGATATCCGGTGTGCGTCGGCAGGGAATCGAACCCCAGACCAAATGCATGGTCGGCGAGAGTCCTTATCTGTGTGCCACCGACGCAGTGGTGGTTAGCAGTGGAATCCAGGATGCGCATTTCGTCCTATTTGGGACTCGTCAGCTGGATATGCCTGCATTTCTCAGTGAGTGATGATGTTCCCACCGAGGCTCGAACCCAGTGCCCATAATTTTAAACGCCAAAGCGATATCCACTAGATCGAACCTCGATGGGAACATCATCACTCACTGGAAAATGCAGGTGCATACGGCTGACGAGTCCCAAATAGGACGAAATGCGCATCCTGGATTCCACTGCTAGCCACCATCCATCAGCTGTATACTAATTAAATGCCCAGACATCGTCAAGGCATCTGCACAAGAAAACGACATGTCAACCTGAGACCGAGCACTTCGGTCCAATCAATCGACGAGAAAATCTCAAATTCAATTAAATATTGTATATAACCAACTCATAACTCTACTACTCATTAGTTAGTACGCAAAAATACTTTACAGTTAGTGTTTGTTGAATGATTATTATTATTGTTTTGATATAACTTCTAACCATCTGTGCCTGTATTAATATTCTTCTAGAATATATTTTCGTATTTAAGTATTTTATACAAGTGTCATTATGACTTCAGCTGGTTTTTCATGGTCCAACCAACTACTTCTACCGCGGTTAACTATTTCTTCCGTTGAAGAGATGAGCAGTGCATTTTTTCCATGAGAAATATTGTAATTATAATCAACAAAGCTTTAATAACTCTTGTATATAACGAATTCATTCCTCATTTAGGTGATGAGTGAAATTTTTTTGATTACAGCTTGATTACACACAGTACTTTTTGGTAGAAGTATGAAATTTTCAGCATGTGATATCGGTAGCCCAAATTTTGCAGGCCGACCATAGATATCAGGTGTGCGTCGGCAGGGGATCTTAACATAAACATAATATAACACATAAAAATGATCAAAACTGAATATCAAATAATATAGTATAATATAATCATCTGTGACTAGTCACTTTTCTATTTCACCTCATTCATCACTGAGGAATTTAATCCTAACGTTGACGATATCAGACTCATACATAAACAAAGAGATATGTTAAACCACTTCCTACTTACATTTCACTGGCTAAACATACAAGTAACACATTTGAAAAGAGATGATGCTTTTCCAATGGTTTGAGCAGTGGACGACGTGTGTTACTGCTTGCGGGCGTTTGGTTGCCAGCGTCTACACAGGTATCTGTAGAACCGACATTATTACCACAGGTATTAGTAGTAGCAGTAGTACAAGTGGGAGTTGTAGCATTACTGACATTGTTATTGTTGTTATTCGTAGTCATTCCACTTCCAGGTGTTGTGGTTGTTGCGTTTGTTGGTGGTGTATTCATGTCAACTGTTGTCTGATTATTCGCTAGGTCAGGTTGTCCTGGCAATGGGGAACCTGGTTCTTTGAACATTTTACTAGGTGGTTGATTTGACTGAAAACTACTTGTGTGACTCAGCGGTTCACATTCGAATTCAGGAGCATGATAAAAATGATTTACTAGAACATTTAAACTTTGATAATACGATGCTTCAGATGTAATCACTTCGAACATGGCCTGTGCGTAGAAAGCAAAACAAAACGATTATTAGGATTAGTTTCGGCCCATATTTTATAGATTAAGCATGAGATAATATCCAGAAAGTTCTAATAGAAAGCCATGTGAAAGGTAAAACTAATTAATTCTCCAAATTAGATCAGATTGTCACTGATGACGTCGAAGGATAGTTGAAGTATGCCGTGACATAGGAAAAATGTTGGAAAATTTCACCCTTTAAATCCCAGTTCATTGGTTGAATGACACTGTTGTCACGGAGAGACCTGTTTTAATTAACTCGTAGTAAACACTTCAAAAACATCATTCTGAGCTGATTGACCATTCATTGCCCTTAAAGACTAGAAAAATTCTGTTGTTGTTTTGTCAACCGTAAATGTAATGAAGTATAGTTTAAAAATCTCTGGACAAGGAAAAAGAAATACCATTATCTTAATCATGGTATTTTTGGCTGATCAAATTAAATATTCCGCCTCACTAGTTTCTATATTGTTATTAAATAACAATTTCTACTCTGGTGGTCGCAATATAATCAATATATTAGTAGACGGTGGAATTGAGAAGCATATGGATTCAGTCTCAATGCCTGGGTGCTATACGACCTCAACTTGTAGCCTGAAGGCTCTCAGTTCGATGCCTGGTGAGGTCATGGGTGTGTACTGCTAAATTACGACGAAACAGCTGTCCGGTACTTCCTGGTTTTCAGAAGTCCTCTAACTGAGACTTGTTCATGATCAATCTTGAAATCAATCGTGTCCCTACAAACCAAAGCTTGAAAATTATACAGAAACTACTTGTTTGGTGGTGGTGATGATTAACATTGGAATCTAAGATGCTCTCCTCATCTTCCATGACACTCATCATGTGGATGCGCCCGTCTCTAAATGACCGATGGTTTCCACTACTCACCACCACTAGGACAGTAATGTCTAGTTAGTAATTATGGTAATATTGAAATAACTTATTTCTGCTATTAGACTTTTAGGGCCAGGAAACAAATAGAAAAAAATCATAGTTACGATAAGATCAATAAAAATAAATCAGTTGGAAGTGTCAGTGGTTTCTGACTGACGAAACTATGTGTTTATCAACCTGTTTTGGCTGTTAGAATATGAACAAAAATACTGTGATGTACATTATATACAAGTATATATATATAAATCTTTAGGAAACGTCTTCCACATACCTCCTGTAGTTGTATTTCATGTCTTGTTAAACGTTGAAGGCAATTACTTTCAACAACCTGTAATTTTAGAGGTTTTTAAACAAAGTATGTATTGAAAAAAGCCGAACAGTTATAGCATATGTTTTAATATCAAAAAACGTTTTACAATTTTTGTTAAATATTAATCAGATAGGTCATGATAAAATTCGAGCAGCTTTGTTACTTTATTTCTTGAAAACATTTAGCTATGTTCCCCCAAAATCTTGAGAATGACTTCTATAGACTACTTTCTGAAATCCCCTCATAATACTAACAGAATTTCTCGTTGTTGAGTATAGTAAATTGAAACGTCAGTGATGCGAAGTTTAATAACGAGTGATGGATTTGTTACATTTCTCTGCCTGAATCGTTATATACGTCAAGAATAAAATGCTCAGAATGATTATAATTGAAGGACACATAGAAATATGCATACGTTATTTTGGAAATTATTTGAAACGCAACCTTTTTAAATGAGCGTTGTAAGAAATCTGAGTTTAACTTCTACGAAATCATCAAAATTCATTATTGAAATTTTGATATGGCAATACAGAGCAAATCAGGCGAAATTGTGAATGTAACTGAGATCTTAAAGGCGATACTGAGGCATCTTTTCATAAATCCAGTTGAGTTTTTAACACCAATATTAAGTCAGTTATTCTATGTGGATGAGAAACTTGGCACATCACGAAAAGCTTTTCAAACAGTCTGCTAGAGACTTTAGCCAACAGCTGACTTCGCTTATGCTGAAGATAACCAGAAACGATAAGTAAGTAGAAACTCTGAGAGCAAAACAATCAACAGATATACCGTAGAAAACGGAAATGAATCGGATTCATGCTGAAGAGACCGCTGAGTGACGTCGCACCCGAGGCCCTTAAGTAGAACCCAGCTGAAAAATGACGAGTCGGGAGTTCAAAGGTGACATGAAGGAGACCATGTGCAGAGGAGATAAGGGCTTATGAACAATGATTTAGCCAACTAGAGATGACTGAGGAAACAGGATAAGATGGAGATGTTTTGTTGAGGCCCTGTATAACATTCGGAAACCAAGGTTAGTAAGAATACCCTAGTGCCATGAAACTACGATCACTTCAGTGCACTTGGCAAAAAGCCAAATCGTATGCGTTAGGATCATTAATTTTAACTAGCTGTTAAATCATCGGCACGTCTGGCTTGGTTCGAAACCGTAATCAGGTGGCTGGGAAACAAATACTCACGAAGAGTGGAAAACCAACCAACAAAATACACAATGTAAGATTAAAAGCATTAAAAAAGCAAAATGATACACACTCTACAAAAGATGTCTTTTTCAATGACCTGTTCAGAAATGTTTTGGGCTTGAAGTCGACGTCTACTTCATATGAGTCCCAACGTGATGGAGAGACATCTAGCACGGGGGTTGCATTGCAAACTTGACTGATAGAATTTAGTTTGGATCAAACAATGAACTAGACATACAACACCAGTAAATACCTGTTGTCTGATTAAAGTATCCAGTACATTCCTACAGGAGCTCGATCAACAGTCCGAATGGAACTGTGGTAACGCCTTTGACTGAGGCATTGGGTGGAAATGAGTTTTTTTCAAAACTAGTGGGTGCCAACAAGCACGAAACTCAGGTCCAAGGTTTCTTACCAACTGCCTCCAGCCATCTAGTAGGAAGTTTTGTCATCTGTTAGGATATAGGAATATTTAATTGGTGATCTTATTCGCAGTCACCATTAAACAAATTAAACCTATGTACCCACATTTCTTACAAATGCTGGATTATCAGATAAGCAAGTTTGTCTTTAACTGTTTTGAAAATGACATAACTAATTCTAGTAGGTCAGAATGTAACTACTAAGGTACAATTAATTCCTAACATGATGACTTTGAACTACCGTCTCAGGGGCACTGTACCTTTAGCCGAATAATAATTTTCCACCTAACACCTTTCAGTAATTAAAAAGTCGGGGAACACATAAACAAACTATCATCATACTTGTTTCCACTTACCTCAGGCATTTCCGACCATGCAACTCGAAAAGCTCCTTGACTTCCACCACCAAATCTACTAGTTTTTTGCCCTAAAGTTTGACCTATCTGAGTTCCTGTAGAATCAGTCAACTGTTGTGGTCGATTCTGTTCACCCTCTTTAATTTTCTCATCTGTTTTATCATCGAACTGTTCTGTACTGGGAAGAGCCAATGATTTATTGAAGTTCTGTTGATTAAGGCAAAATATGAAGATAAATACAAACATATTACGTCTTTCGGCATAAATACATTTTAATTTAATATCCGTTTTTAGAAGATTTGTATTCAACTTTATGCAAGTTTAATTTGTTGCTATGATCAGCCTTTCCATTCCGGGTTTATTCATTACCTTCTTACACTACTAAATCATAAGTAGAGATTGTTAACTAAGTTTCTCCCATCAGCATTGTTTTTGTAGCAAAATTCGACTAATTATTGGATAGGATAAATGTGATGGATGGGATTTAATTGTAGGAAAAATGAAAAAGCACACTTCTGGTGTCACCATTTTCATTTAGGATAAACTAATTAAATATAGTGCTGTATATAGACGTGGTGACCTTAATCCAAAAAATCAACATTTTCTGAATTTACTTTGATTTCCAGGAATGATTCACCAGCCAAACAATCTATGAGACGATAAATAATCTGACGCTCACTAGCGACTGGCCCTATTCAGGCAGTTAACTTGGGGTTCTAGTGGGAAGCCGCGACCAGAAGGGTACAGTAGGTCCAAGATGAGGCAGTAACTCATCGAAGAAGACATTGCGAAATGGTCGCGCCATATCGTGAATTGGCAGAAGTTAGAATTAAAGAACCATTAAATCGGGTCCAGGTGGCTCAATGGTCTACGAGCTCGTCTTGTAACAGGAAGGTCCTGGGTTCGAAGCCCAGTGGGTGCGCACCGCTGAAGAATCCTAAACAAGGATGAAACTGGTGTCCAGTACTCCCAGGTTTTCCAATGGGATATCAGATCATGATGAGATCCTCCATGCAGTAAATAATTTCTCTACAGAATGGCAGCTTTTTTTTATTCTGACTGAAATTTAGCAGTTTAATGTTTTAATCTCTACAGTCAAGCTTCGGGATTATCAAAGGATGATTTTTGAACAAACACTGTTGTAAAGATTTCACCTGTATGATAAACCTAGGGGAAAGTGGTTGTCCACAGGTCCAAAATTAGTATATATCACTGTTGCCTATTTTTATATTGCCTCATCCAATACACTTTGTGAATGCACAATGATTACTTGAGTTGAGTAAAACCATTAAATTAGAGTCTACTAATCGTGCATCTGTGTGAAGACATTGTATAAAAGAGCAAACTTAGCACTAAAAACCATATACTAGACACCAGTAACCAGCTGTAAATAAGGTAAACCTAGAACGCATCCTTGTTTAAGAAAATATCAGTAGGCCTTATCTTCAACCTTATTTAAGAAATCATACTACCTCACTAATTTGTATGTGTGTTACTCACTGAGAAAGTCAACAATTTTATCAGTTATTGAAGCGTTGCAAACAGTACAACGGATCACCAACAAAGTTGTGCATTAGTACATTAAGTATTACAATAAGGCTCATAAACAGTTTATCTTAATTGGATAAATCTAACTGATAACAACTTACGTCTCCTGGCTGTGCTATTCCCTCATCTGTTGAATCAGAATAAACAAGTTGTTTATTCTGTGGTAGACCTATAAAAATTTAAAAAAAATAATAATAATAAGATCAGAATTACTAAAACACATTTTATAGAGATTATTCTCTCTTAGCATGTGACTTAGTGGAGATCCGTTAGAATATGCTTCCATTTTTGAAATACTGAATTTATGGGATTTTAACTTAACGACTGAATAATCGTATTTTCATTTCATCAACTGAAGGTGATTGTTCCGATTTCTGGTTGGTTTACCCCTTTTATACTACCAAAGAGCTTCAAACTAGGACAACATAGCTGTCCATGATTTTCAAACTGATACCGCTTCGCTATGCAATCTATCCTGAAATGAGTCAGCTGAAAGGATTTGCAGCTAAGGATGAGGACAGAAATTTTTTTGTTATTCTCGAGGCTTCGATATTTAATCGCTGACCTTTCGTTACCAGGTTATTAAGTATTTCCAAAAGTAGATTGATTAAGAAGGATGGAGTGATTATAAGTTGCATGAATACTTAGGATCCCTTTTCTTATTTATTTTCAACTGTAAATGTGACAAATTTTTATATTCCATAGCTCCTTAACTTCGTATTCTAATATGTATTCACTGAAAAGGTTAACATGCAAGCTGATAGAATATCCGTGATCAGATAGCAAGGCTCCGAGAAAAAATCTACAGAGCTTGGCTTGTTACATTCCAAAGATGTGTATCTTAGTCATGACAAACCATGTAACTAAGCATCACTAGGTATCTGTTCCATTTCACTCTGACAGTCTTCATTGTTGTGGGAGTACAACAGAACAAAGGAATTCATTGAACCGTAAAAGTGTCCTATTATCCAGGTTGCTTGGTGAGTTTGTTTATCTCTGCTGCTGGAATTCAAGGAATTGCATCACAGAACCTGGTGTTTAGGGGAATAAGGGTATTGTGGCGACATTTTGTTATGGTGCACATTAGTTGGGTGATGTTAAAGCCAGTACTGCCATCTAATGAAGTTAGGATAGGCTTAGTAGTCTGCTAGTCAACTGGTCGATATGTAATTCTGCAGCGATAGACGGTTACATAACACATATTAACCAAGTTAACGAACTGGGAAACCTTAAAAAAGTACCAGTGACAACACTCCTAGAAAACTAGAAGCCACCACAAGTCCGATTTCACAAGTTATAGATTTCACACTTTTATCACCATTATTCAGTCACTTTTTATGATAGTCTTGTGGCTTATTAATTTTACCAGATCTTGTCAATTACCGATTTCCACTTCACAAACAAAATGATTACCATGAGTGTTACTAAAGTGCCTGTTTAAAACAAGATCATTTTAAACAATTCACTTAACTAATGAAATTAGTTAAAGGACTCCACGTAAGCTTTTAAGTATAAAAAATTATTTAAGGATGCTTATAATCACGTTTTACAATATGATAAACATCTAAAAAACTAGTCATATGACTGACTCAACAACATATGTAAAAGACATCAGTGCATTTCGCACGTATTTGATTAATGTGATTATTATAGTTAATTAGAAAAAGACTACACATATATTCACATCATCATTATCATCAAAATCATAATGTTGTTCATTTTTATTCTTGTTTACGTTAACTTCCCTTTCACTTTACAAAGAATTTCAAACTACTTACTGGTTATACATCGATTAGGTGATTCAAAGAAGTGAGTTATTCAGTTTTCTGCAGTACACATAAATAACTCCTACACATGTGTGTGAATAAAGCACAGGTGTACTGTTTGTGAAGCAATATGAATAAGTGAAACCATATTATTTGCAGAGCAACGTTTCGAAAGTGCGTCGGTAGTATAGCGGTTAGGACGCTCTCCGACCATGCACATGGTCCGGAGTTCGATCTCCGGCCACCGACGCACTCCTTTACCTCGTTAAGCTAGAAATAATTCTGGTAAAGAGGAAAGGTTGGGCATGAGGCCAGCAGTCCCATCCTGTAATAATAAACACTGCTACAGAAACTTCAAGCCAATAGCTTGGAGCCCTATTTTCCACTGGGGAACGTGAAGGGAAAAAAGGTTTCAAAGATGATTTGTTTCAAAACAATGGTATATGGACGAAGAATACTATTTCCGACAACTTCCCTATTAGGTTCCACAGTTACATATCCGTATTACTTAAGAAATAACTGCTTTTTAATTATTATTATTGCTCCCTTGGGTCCTAGTGGAACATAGGGTTTCAACTGCACGTCTCCATTTTCTTCTGTCTTCTGCTATACTTTTCACCTGCATCCATGTTAATCCATATTCTTTCAACTCCTCTTCACACGATCTCCTCACTGTCACCCTTGGACGTCCCACATGCCGCTTCCCTTTCGGGTTCCACTCGAGCAATGGCTTGACGCGCGATGTCACCCAGCGGTCTCCTCAGCGAGTGTTCAATCCATCTCCACTTTTTCCTGCATATTTGTTGGGCAATCGGTTCTTGTTATGTTTGTTCCCATAGTTTCTTCTTTGTGGTGATTATTTCCGGCCATCTGATCTTCAGTATAGAGCCAGCGAAGAAAGTTGTTGGTTGATAAAGGTCTGGTCTGCAACAGGATGTTGGAAATATTCTTTGTGACCCACTCGCCAAGTTTCTGATCTGATCCGTATAGAAGAACTGACTGACTTGACGTTTGTATTGAAAATCCGACTGAATTTTGTTGTGATGCTGAGTGACGAAGATTTCCAGATTGGTTTCAGGTTGATGAATGTGTTTCTCGCCCACCCCGATTCTCGCTCGATTTGACATCCTCGTCCGTTCCCTGCCTGTAGTTGAGACAATGCTCCCTAGATAAGTGAATGAAGTAACCTCTTTCAAATCCCTCCCGTTGATGGTGATTGACGCTGGATTTTGGTGTTGTTGTTGGTGGTTATTTTCATAACCTCCGTCTTGTCTATGTTCACCTGGAGTCCTGTCTTCACCGACTGCTTCTTCGACCAGTTTGTCGGTTTTCGCTTGTAAGTCTTCGATTTTGTGTGACATCAAACATAAGTCATCCGCGAAATCCAGGTCTTCTAGGTTCTTCACGTCGGTCCAGGATATTCCTGTCTTCTCGTTTCCCACTGTCTGACGCATAATCCAGTCGTCCACCACAATTAGGAATATCATTGGTGAATAATAAGCACCCTTGTCTGACTCCTGTGTTTACTCCAAACGCCTCGCTGAGTTTTCCGTTGTGGATCACTTGACATGTGCCGTTGTCGTACAGCTGTTGAATAAGGTTGATGAATATTTGGGGTACGCCATAGTACTCGAGTAATTTCCAAATTACTTCACGATCAACGCTGTCGAAGGCCTTCTCAAAGTCTATAAAGTTGAGGTAGAGGTTTGATTGCCATTCCATGCTTTGTTCGATGATGATGCGTAGAGTTGCAATTTGGTCAGTACATGATTTGCCTTTCCTGAATCCAGCTTGTTCTGGTCGGAGTTCTGTCTCCAGTGCGTCCTTTAATCTCTCCAGGATGATGCGACTCAGGATTTTACTTGGCGTCGATAGGAGCATGATTCCTCGCCAGTTCTTGCAGAGTCCTAAGTCGCCCTTCTTTGGTAGTTTCACGAGGTAACCTTTCCTCCAGTCAGTAGGCACCTTTCCCTCCTTCCAGACCTTTTGCAATAATGGAGTCAGCATGTCTGCTGTAGTCTCTGGGTCTGCTTTCAGTGCTTCAGGGGGTATTCCATCTGGTCCGGCTGCTTTTCCAGCTTTCAGAAGTTTGATTGCGTTCAAGACTTCAGCTCTCGTTGGAGGATTGGTGTCAACTTGCAGTTGTGTGCGCGCTGTTGTTGGTATTTCTGGACGGGTTGCAGGTGATGGTCGGTTCAAGAGTCCTTTGAAGTGATCCGCCCATTGTTTAATCTGTTTTTCTTCCTTGGTAATGGGTTCCCTTGGCTGTCTTTTATAGGTTTCGCTTGTGTTGGTCTCTTCCCGGATAGAGATTTGGTTATCTGATATAGTGTCCTCAGGTCCCTTTTGCCTGCTGCCTTTCAGCTTCAGTAGCTAGATTGTCGTAGAATCGTCTTTTGTCCTTCCTAGCACTCTTCTTCACTTCTTTGTCCAGTGCTGTGTAAGTTGAGCTCAGCGTCTCCTTCTCCTGTCCGTCCTTGCATTGAATCATTTTCTCTTTCACCATTCTCCTCTCTTCTATTAATTTCCAAGTGTCCGTTGAGAGCCATTCCTTGTCTTGTCTCTTCTTTCTTCCTAGAACCGTTGAACACGTTTCGTTGAGAATCGCCTTCAGAGACTTCCAATGTTCTTCCACGCATGATTCTTCAGTGATGTCGCGTAGTGTTTCCTGCTTTGCTCTGACAGTTGCAGTGAAAGTGTCTTTTGTGGTTGTGTCCTTCAGTAATTGAGTGTTGAACTTGCATTGTGGCCTATCCCCAGCTATCCTCGAGGCTTTTAGTTTCACCTTGAAAGTCCCTTGTACTAGATAGTGGTCTGAACCCACATCTGCTCCTCTCCTTGACCTTGTGTCCAGTAGGCTCCGTCTCCACTTTCTTGAAATTGAGATGAAGTCTATTTGGTTTTTGGTGTTTCCATCTGGTGAAATCCATGTCGTCTTGTGTATATCCTTGTGTTTGAACACACTGCCACAATCACCAAATCATTGAAGGCGCAGAAGTCTGAGAAGAGTTCACCATTGTCGTTCATTTCACCGAGGGCCTCACGACCCATGGTGAGTTCTCTTCCTGTGTTGTCTCCTCCCAGCTTCGCATTCATGTCGCCCATCAGGATTTTGATATCGCCATTTGGGACGTTGTCCATTATTGCTTGTAGTTGTCTGTAGAACGCCTCCTTCTTCTCTTGTTCTGAGACGTTTGTAGGCGCATAGCATTGACATTGAATGACTGTAACTTTCCTTCCTTTTGAGTTGAACCTGGCTGTCATTATCCTGGAGGAGATTGGTTCCCACTGCATGAGAGCTTTGGTTGCTGTTGGTGACATCATGATGGCCACTCCCTCGGTGTGCTCGTGGTTGTCCTCTGGGTGGCCGGAATAGATTACTGTCTCTCCAGTAGGTAGTTGGCACCTTCCAGTTCCGTTCCATCTGCTCTCGCAGATTCCCAACACTTCTATTCTGTACCTTCTCATTTCAGCGGCTATCTGGGCAGCCTTTCCAGTTTCGTACATTGTACGAACATTCCAGGTACCCATCCTTACTTTTGCTTTCATCGAAAGAAGGCACATCGGCTGACTGGCTTCCCGAAGGCTTTCACCAGCCTGCGTCATTTCACTTCCCCGATTCCAGCGAAAAGTAAGGCTATTGCTTATGTTTTTAGAATTTTTAATATATTTATTCGTTGAAGTTTCTGTAGCGATTTGGTTGTTTTACAGGGGTGGAGTTGCTAGCACCACGCCCCAACCCTCCCTCTTTACCCGGGCTTGGGACCGGCGAGAAAACTAGTAAGCTAGTAGCCTAGCAAGCTAGTATCTGGTGACGTTGCTTTTTAATAACATAGAATTATTAGGATCAAAAGTCCGAGAGGAATATCTGCGTAAAATGTTACTATATTGATTGCGTATAAATATAATGCACTAGGCTGAAAGTCAGATATCATATTTTGCATTCTCTAGGGGTTTCGATTGATTCCAATGTTGATTTTGTAAAGAGCTGACATCAGTTACGGAATAGCTGAATACCAGGGAGTAACGGCACCTGATACATTTTATTTTCTTATCTGTAACTCCACCAGGGCTTGAACTCGGTAACAGAGTTTAATTAATCACCACAAAATTCAAAATAAATACCAATTTATTGTCAGTTAAGGTCCCCTGGATGGATGTAGTGAAGTTCAAGTTAGAGGCAGTGGCTGGTGGAATCCACTATGTCACGATGAGGCAGACGCTCATCGAGTGCAATGGTTTTAGGCTGCATTATGTTTACGGAAATACAGAAGTTAGATTTCACAGGTCACTGAGTTCCAAATCAGTGAAGGATAACATTAAAAACAGGGCGAAAAAAGTGTAAGTCAGTATCCAAGATTATATGAAAGTGTAACGATGCAAAGGTGAATGGATCACACAAAGTAATGATTACCGAATGAGTAGAATTTTAACCTACACTGCTGAAGATCATATCTAAAAGGTTTGATGCAATACAGTATTTATAACTTTAAACATTCCACAATAGGCCAGATTAGTACTGTAAGTAACAGCTCGACTTATTTCTTTTGTACTCAAAGTTCCGACTGTTTTGAGAGAAATATTATTGCGTTTACTGTTTAAGATGTTCATAACCTTTCGCACTTCACAGTTTCTTCGTTACACATTACACGACAGGAATGACCTCTTCAATACTGGCTGTATGATCTATCTGAAGTAAATGTGCTAACATCGAACTGTTATTGTATCTGTATTCAGCCATTCTGGCAGGTATTCTTCTGTTTACCGAGTCAAAAGCGCCTGTGTAACCAGCTGTATTGTCCGTCTCCCTAGAAACATAATTTTTCTGGCTGAATAAAATTCCACCGTTGTCACTAGTCATCAATTTTCATTAATGTATATTCATGGTTATTTATCATCACCCATTTTGATACCTGACGTTCAATTTATTACTACGCTTGTATGTATCAATATACATCCATGTAACCTAGCAAACGTTTACTGACATATAGCTCTTGCATTTCTGATTTTAATAATTTGGTATAATCAAGAAGTATTGATATTTTCAAGACCAATCATTACCTAACTGTGGAACCTAATAAAGAGGTTTTCAGAAGTAGGATGATTTGTTAACAAATCAATACTTCGAAATATATAACTTATTGTTTATATATATATATATTATTATTATTATTGTATCCTTTAGTTCCTAGAGGAACATAAGGCTTCAGCTGTATATATATATATATATATATATATATATATATATATATTACATTACAACTTTGGGGAATACTGCAAAACTCCTACCTTAAGCAAAATCAGTATCTTAACTGAGATTCAGATAGTGTTTCCCTGAGTAAAAAATATCAGTACTAAGTTATTCAGGATTAGTGTGGCTATCAGAATCAGTGAGACCTGAATTACATACCTTTTTCAATTACTAAAAGGTTCATTATAGATTGCATCTCCAGCCAATATCGGTTATAGCTTCACTGAAAACCAGGGATCGATAGAAAATTGCTTCATCCTCTCTTCGAATTTTGTAACAGTTCGAAACCACAACCCTACGAGCTTTCCAACTCAGGATCTTCAAGTAACAAGGCAAGCCCATTGACAATTTAACCAATGGGTTTGAATCGACTAAACCATGGGTTCTAACTTCTCCCTCTTCGCGTGATATACAGCCACCTCGATCCAGTAGCATCTGAGAGTGTCTTTATTCATGATCTGCATGGCTGGGACTTCCTATTAGTGCTCTCCCGAAAGTCCCTCCCGAATTCAGTGTGTGTCGAGCAGTGGACGAATTTTCGAGTGTTAAGTTGCGGGGATTTCACTGGTTATTTGGTCTGTGAAGCAATATTTGAATGTGTGTAGGACGACCATGTCCTTTCTTAGAATTTCAGAATTACACCTAGCTGACGATCAGCTACTAACATAAGACCTATATAGGAAGGAAATTTCTCCGGCTATCTTTTGCTTGTATAACACAGAATCAATATGACGGTAACCAACATAACTGCCTATCTCAGAGTGTGTAGACTGAGATCTGTGGGTTACTGGTTATCTACAGTGGTTCTCAAGTTAAACAGTTTGATACCGCCATACGTCGGGGTGTTCTTTGCGTCTTGATCTAGAGTTTAAGGTGGAGGCGAAGTGGGGGCGACTGACGTGAGCTGCAGCACAGTTCTGCCAGAGCTACTAACCGCGCTCTTCGTCGGATGATGCAAGTCATCACATTACCTCGCTCATTCGATGACTGATGCATAACTATCAACTTAATATTACCAAACTTGCTGCCAGTCTGTCTTTTTCTTCAAATTGTAAGTATAAAAAGTTAGAAAGTGAACGATTGGGAGTAGGTGAGGCAGCCTTGGATCTGCCCGCTAATTAGTTGTGTATTGTAGCTTGGCTAGGAGATTCTCAGGCTGATAGTCTAGGGTCGTGTAGGTCATATCCACAACAGTTTTAGGCAAATAGTTCATTAGATATGATTGTAACTTAAAGGGAGGATAAAGTTATTGTTAAAACACTATACCAATAAAACACCAGTTCTACAGAGAATTTTCTCTCTAAATAATGAAGTAACTGCACAGACTAACCTTCAATATATGCTGGTAATTCAAACAAATTTAAAGGACCTGATCGTCCAAGTTGTTGACTTGTTGCTTCACATAAAAACTTCAAAATTGACTCGTCTAACAAATGGGCAAAAGCATTTGCAACTAAGCTCATATCAGCTCCAGTCTGATCGGTAACTTGTTGTTTTATATCCACTGTATCACTGATGACATCGACAGATTTCTTTTTATCTTCTTCGTCGTCTTGATGTTTTATGCCACTGTCTCCATCAGTTCTTTTAGTTGTTTTCACCTTATTTGAAAGAGCCATCTACACAAAAAAGGTAAATTGTGTAGTGAAATTAAAATGTCGGTCAACAACAAAGAATTTCTTTTAGTTCAGAATGGTGATGATAAGTGTTTGGTTTCTACCAAACTACTGTATGTGACAGTGGATGTTTCATTAGGATAGATGAATTCATGAGTAGTGAATTGGTGGCAAACTTTCCTAACTTGGCAACTACATGTTGGATATTAGTTACCACTGTCGTGGAAACAATTTACATATCATCCGCTACACATTAATACCTTTACAGCAGAAGAACATAATATAGGCTGTTTTTGGTAAAGGGAGTTATCACAGAAGAACATCTTATGGATAACGTTAATTGTTCAGAGAAGATACTGTCACTCAGCATAAAGAATTTGAAGAAAATGAATTGTTCAGCAGATTAGGGATTAAAGCCAAGTTAATCTTCACTAGTTTTTGTTAAGTGCTCTTAATGAATGGTCTCACACACAGATGCAGTGTACACAAATAATTGCAAGATACTCAAAGTTACTGATATTAAATATTTGGGTTCCAAAGGGAAAAAGGGTTCAAATAGCATATAACAATTTTACTCTTTTCTCTTGTCATCAATTTTAGTTCCATGATAGCTCATAAGCTTTCGTCTCCGTCCTACACAATCTCCACCACCCTCGGAAGCCCAATTTGCCATTTTTCATTCAGGTCCCACTTCAAGGCATGGTGTGTGATGTCACTCAAAGGTCTTCTTAGAGAGTGTCGAGTTCATCTGCATTTTCTCATGCGAATTTGTTGGTTGATAGGTACTTTTTTGGCCGACTCTTGTTAACCGTCTTTACTGGCCATCTGGTTTTCCTCGCCGAGTGAAGGGGTTTCAGAGAATGATAGAGTTATCCTCCTGCAGTAACTTGATGAAACCTTCTCCCTGAAGTGATGCCGCTCAACAATGTTTCTGCCATCAATGGATTTAAATGTGTTTTTTGTTTCGGAGGAGGCAACATGGAATAAGTCTGTATGCTCGCATATTTTACAAACATTTCTTAGCGATTGTACTACTTTCCGTGTTACTTTATATTGCTTTAAAGTGATCTATCAATTTATCTGTGTCCGACCGCGCCTATTCTACTGGCTCGTTAGTTTTCTAGGCGGCTACAGGTCTGAGAAAAAAGTGGAGTTGGTAGCGCGGTTAGCAATGCTACCATGGGAAATCAGTCTAATTGGTACAAAATCTTCAAAGCACAGAAAAAATATAAAGACTGAAAAGTTTCTTCTCTGGGATAAGACGGATGGAATGAAGCAGGCTGGTGATATGTCTTCGTTCGATCAAAACAAGAATAAGCACAGGAAGATGGAATGTATGTACAATGTCCGAAGCATAGAAGGTTGCTCATATTGCGAAATAAATGAGAAGATATGTCATAGAAGTGTTAGGAATCTGTGAGAGAAGGCGGAGTGGATGTGGAGTATTCGCTTTATTAACTGGAGAGTGAATAATCTACTCCGATCACCCAGATTTCAAATAACTCAGAACAAGAGAAGAAGAGGCAGAATGTACAAGCGCACAGATACACACAAACACAAGGCAACACAGATTTCGCCTGACAGACCAACCAAAAATCAGATGGGCGAAAATCAACAAACTGGCTGAATAGGCTGTCAGGGAAGACAGGACTCCAGATGAACATAGAGAAGACAGAGATGATGAAAACAACCAATCAACAACAGCAAGATCTCATGTTCAAGTTTACTTCTTTTACTTACCTAGGAAGCATTGTTTCGTTCACAAGCGGTCTCACATATGAGGATTTCAAAATGAGAATCAAAAAGGTATGAAAGACCTTCACCACTCTAAAATCAGTTTTGAAATATTCTGAAATGAGCGTAAAGAACAAGATTCGGATTTTTAACACCAACATTGAGTCAGCCAGTTCTTCCATATAGGCCAGAAACTTGACCAGGGCGTCATGGAAAGCATTTCCAACGGCCTATTGAAGACTTTTATCAACAGCTGACTTCTATGGCTGCATACTGGAGGTCGAATGGCCAGAAGTAGTTGAAAAGAAGAAACTCTGGGAAAAAGCCAACCAAGAACATGTTGCTCAACAGAAGAAGATGAGGATGCATCGAACACACACTGAGGAGACCGTTGAATGATATCACGCATCAGACCAAATCTCGAGTGGAACCCGAATGGGAAACGACGAGTTAGGCATCGATGCGAGAGTGCACTGGAGTAAACGGTGTGAGGAGGAGACGACAGACTAGGCGAAACCGTGGGGGCAGCTAAAGAGTACTGTTGAAAACAGGATGAAGTGGTGAGTAGTGCTGTTGTGTTCCAGTGTTCTACTCGGAACCCAAGGACACAATAATAATATAAACTATCTGTCCATCCATCTCAGTTAAACAGTTCAAATCAAACTTTAACACTACTTCGTATGACTTCATTACATTAAATATCACCAAACTACTACTAATACCATTATTGACACTAACGACATTTTTTGTGGCGGTTTAGAATGAAGTACAAATCTGGATCGAACAAGAATTCGAATCAGCAGCCTACAGATTATCAATCTGCATATATTGAAATTAGTATGATAATTTAACTTATCTCATAGGCAAAAAACAATCTGTGTTGCACACATCCATGCACTAACAAGCCTTAATCACAATAAGTCCTAATAAACATAAAGCATACATCAAACTTCAATTATACACTCACGAAAGATTTGACACCAGTGCGAACCTTTAAACCGTTTATTAATTCAGTCAATGTATTCATTATTCTTTTTTTATTTATTATAAGTTAATTATAATTAATCCGAGACTGTATTCCTTAACAGTTCAAGCATATAACAGTGCATTTGTATGTGTGCGTACTGTACCAGTAGGTCATCATAGAAACACTTCAGAAGTGTATCAATTGCATAACATATAGACATAATGGAGAATATCCTTGCTCATGTAAAAATCATTAATCCTTTCCTTTATCTTATACACACACAGAAAAAGACATTTAATGCTCTCTTCTGTCAACTCCTCCATTTTATAATTTTCATGGTATGAGAAGGTGTTTTTACACACACACACACACATGTGCACACACACGCGCACACAAACACAGATGACTCGTAATAATCAATCTGAAATATTCAATTGATTACCAAATTATTAATTAATTTATAAACGCTAGTGGTTCATTCACACAATACAGGCAGGCAGTAATGTTTTTCTTTACTACTGATGTTTGTTTTGTTTGTTTTTTTATTTCAAACTAGAAAAACCGCAACAATACTAATCAATCCTTGAGAATTATACTTGGGTGTAGTCATCAATACACACACAGCAATAAAACTAATAATTGGTGAAATTAAAAGATTGTATTAGAACTGTTTACTCCACATGCTAGCACTGCTATCACTGATCGATAAGAAAGGTGTGCTTCACAATGACGTATAAATACATTGAAAAAAAAACACTTCGTATTGAGATAAGTGTGAATGTAATAAATAATCTAGGCGACAGTAATCTTTAATTATGCTATTAAGTATTATTATTATTATTTGTTTTTCTGACATGCTATATTCTCAGACTGTGTGATTTTCTGAATTTTGAAGTGTTCTTCCATGTGGTACTTACTGCTTGGCAGGTGTTCGTATGAAAATTCTTTCTATGGAATACGAATTCAAAGAATATATGAGCCGATAGATTTCAGTCTGTCAAGTGACTATCAACGCTATCAGTAATCGCGGTTCTGATAGTCCTCAACTCAACTGCTGTGATCAAAATTGTGCATACCAGTATTGGAGATTTTTAAAAGTCATCCTTTTTGATTCGTAAAATAAATAAAATATGTCAGTGGCACAGTGGTAGAATGCTCGCTAACCATGCGTGTGGTCCGGGGTTCGATCTCCAGCCAACGCATTCCTTTGCCTCGCCAAAACCAGTAATGAGACTGGTAAGGAGAGAAGGCTGGGCGTGAAGCTAACAACCCCATCCCGTAAAAATAAACAACACTATTAACGAAACTTCAGGTCTCTAGCTCGAAGCCCTAAGTTCCACTGGCGACGAGGAGGAATAAAAAACACATCTGGTATGTGTCAGAAGAGAACCATTCAGTAGACACAATTAACAGGAAGCTGTATAATTGTACTGCCTAAAATGCGATTTTAAAATAATGCACCCTTGATGCTAGTTTGCATTTTTTGGTCAGAGACTACAAAACATGACTGAAATCAACCGTAATGAAATGTCATCTATAAATTAAAATTCCAGTAGCAGGCTTTGCAGTGGGGCAATTGATGGACAGTTATTTCTACAGAATTATCCCCCTTTTTATTATTATTTCCTTTAATTCCTAGAGTAACATAGGGCTTCAGTCACACGTCTCCGTTGAGTTCGATTCTCTGCTAAGGTTTTCACCTGGCTCCAAGTCTGCCCACACGCTTTCATCTCCTCTTCATATGACCTCCTCCAAGTCACCCTTGCACTGACGACCAACTCGCCGCTCCCCTTTCGGGTTCCACTCGAGCAATAGCTTGTCGAGTGATGTCACTTGGTGGTTTTCTCAGAGTATGGCCAATCCACCTCCATTTCTTCCTGCTTATTTGTTGCATAATCGGTTCCGACTGGGTTAGTTCGCTGCCACAGATCCCTATTGCTGATCTTTTCTGGCCATCTGACCTGCCCATGATAATATATTGTCAGTGTATTCACCTGTTGCTTTTGATTTTATTCATAAAATAGTGTGAATTTGTCCTTCAATTCAGGACCTCGAGTAGTTATTTCAGATATCGCTTTTTTGGTCTGTTGAACACTGATAAGTAAAATTGAAGTGTCCACTAATTTACTTTTTAAAAGGTAAACTGCCCAAAAATATGTACTTTTATGTTTGAAAAGTCAACTCGACTAGAGGATCTGCGGTTTGGTTTCACTAAAAGGACTTCTCAGTGCATAGTCAATCCATATGTACTTCCCTCTGCATATTTGTTGGGCGAAACGTCCTCAACTGGTTCACTGCCTGCCAGAATTCGGTGTTGCTTTTCCTTTCCGCTTGACTACCTAATCCTGAGTATCAACTGAAGGCAGCTGTTGATGAACGTTACCTGCAGAGTGTCAGAAAAGCTGTTGGCGATGCACTCGTCCAGTCACAGAAACACCAACTTGACATTATTATTCTTATTTGTGCTAAGCACTGAAGACCTCCACATTGCTTTCAGGCGAATGAATGTCTGTCTTGGTTTACTGATCCAGTCCTGGATGGCCTTGACATTCTCATCTAGGCAGAATGCAGTTGAAACAAAGCCCGCCAAATGAATGAAGGGGATGACTTCGTCTAGATTCCTTCTGATGTTGACTGATGCCCTCTTTTGTTGCTTAAATATATCTTTCTTCACCTGAAATTGTTTTTTGAATAGTTCTCCTGCTAACTTGTTGGTTTACATTTGTTAATCGTCAGTGAAATCTTGATCTTCTGAGATCTCGTTATTACTATTATTCTTCATTCAAGTTAGAGCTTTGAAGTTTCTGTAGCAGTGGTGTTTATTTTTAAAGGTTAAGGTTGCAAGCCTCATGACCAACCTTTACTCCTTACTGGTGTAACAACAGAAGACAAGGGCCAGGCAACAGATCGTTTTATTATGAAAATCAACACCTATTTATACATCTTTCAACTACATTATTATAGACAAGCGCAGTCATCTGATTGGTTGTTTAGGTAGACAAACGCAGGCTTCTGATTGGTTGTTTCGGGATTCCTTGACAAATAGAGTTCTCTCTGCGAATCATATTCTGCCACGTTAACTTTGCTGTGATTGGTTGTTGACTCAGGCTTGTTCATATTTTCTCACGGCCCAAATTAGTGACCTAGACCTTAACGTAGATTAGTGCCAACCAATCGGCTAGCAGCCTGCTCTCACCACACTGGTCTTATTGCCGGCTAAACGAGGTGTAGAAATGCGCCGGCTGGGGGTCGAACTCCGAACCATATGAAGTGTGATTTTATTTACTGGTATTTTTACCAGTATGAAACTAACTGTCTTCACTGTATGCCAAGAAGTATGGCCAGTACTGAATATCAGTATTCTGTCATATGGCAGAAACCTACATAAGATCACTTTTACACACTGATACTTTAAAAACCCACCTAAATGTCTGTAGATTGCTTAGTAACCATGATATAAATAGAATAGTAATAATAATAAAAATTATTATTACTAAAAATAATAAACTTTAAATTGAAAACCTACTTGATGCGCAATTATTCCATAGCCTTGATAAAGTGGAAGATTTGCAAATCGTGACTGATATCCTTGTACAAGACCATCTTCATTCTTCCCACTTGAACTACTTTGTATAGTTACATCTGATGACAAATTCTGATTTGATGGAAACATTAGTTTGGCCTGAGAGAATAGACGTTCTGATTCCTATGATTGGAGAAAAATGTGAATAAGAGCGATCGTTGTCATTATAATTTTCTTATGTAATGAGATGAATTTACAAAGTAAGGTCTGGCCGTTGCATATTTGTCAAGATGGGACGCGAAATGAAACAATTAAAGATTCACGTAACACTTTGAATCAGTCTTTTTCTCTACCTGAATCAATACTACTGTAGGTAGACCGAAATTATGAAATAATGATGGAGGAGATGTGTAGCTCAATTCACTTTGAAGTAATCGCTATACATGTTGCCTAGATTGAGAGTGAAAGCCTTTCAATCAGACCAGCAGGCTAAGTAAACACAACCGCATCAGATACAGCGACAGTGTTTGCGCTGGAATCGACTTGTTAGTTAGGTCTTATAATATTCTATATAACACAAGGCTAAATGAATACATATGCTTGTTTATATTGAAAGTTGATTTCAAGCATGATTTTGTGTTAAGGAGACTTAGAAATTTGGGTCTGTTGTAGAATATAAATATGTTTTTTAAGATATAAAATGATATAGCATTAGTAAATGGATGATTTTTCGGGTACAGTATATTGCTTGTAATCATGTAGGTGCATTTATGCGACTTTCTATATTGTTTAATGTAGATTTATCTCCTATCCTGTCTTCAATACAATGTCTAATGTATCCGGGATTGGTGTTGCATCATTTCTATTCTGTGTTCGGTATTAATTCAGTGAATAAATATTCTCTGGCTAACCTATATCTTTTCACCTTGTTACATCCCAAATTAATGATTTTTCCTGTCCTGCACTACTGTAGAATACATTGAAGTGCGTGCAAAGCAGCGGCCTTGATTATTACTGAACCTAGTAGAGTCTAACATAAGAGGTCTAGCTAAACTCTTGTATTCTGATAACCTAACTTAACTCAATATACTTTTGACCGTAAAACCATTTCGTAAGGGGGGTACACTGGGAACTCTTTTTAGGAGTTTTAGTAAGAATATAACTAAGGTGACATTTAAATTTTGTTATTATCTCAGTGACTAAATTTGTTGGCCTGACGGTCCAGTTTAGAAAATAACATAATTTACCAATAGTATATAATGGCCGTGAGTTTAGTTATATAGGTCAAAAAAGGGTTTTTCGAAAACTGTACCAAGCAATCCAATAAGTCATGTGAATGTATTGATATGACTGTAGGTAATAAGTTTTGTCTTCGAAACATTATTCAGTTATCAATGCTTTATCTCAATGTGCTTCACCAGATAGACGTGGCTAATATGAAACTGAATAAACGTATTCGAGAAAAACAATCAATGCCATTGATAGATTCAGTGGAAACCATAAGACACTGTACGTAAAATTGTTCTGTCGTAGTGTATTGAGCAGTGCTTATGCCAGTGATATCAGATAATGAAATCTATAAACCCAACACTGGAGTAATGTCTTTGATAAGAGATATAAGTATTTTCGCGTATCATTAGAGTTTTTAAAACTCTCGTTGATTCACATTATTTTAGTCTGCCACTATAGATATATAAGCTAACTTGTACGACTTGGCGATACCACATGTTTTTGTTTTTATCCCACTTATTCAGTCAGAACATGCCTTTCACTCAAAGGAGATATAATTTGTCCAAAATGAATAGGAATTCTCAGGCAGATGTTTTTGGTGTTGTTGTGTTCTCTTAGCTTGAATGTTTAATTGCAAAGCTTCCATTGACCCTCTTCAGTGTTAACTTAAAGATGGAAGACAACACCTGAAAATTAATATTTGCGATATTCAAAGCAGCAGATGATAAACTTGGACACCACAACTGCACTTTTTCAAATAATTCAAAGATTAAAGTCGATTTCAAATTAGATCATAAACTAGGCGTGGTTAGAAAATCATTGAAAACTAGGGAGTACTGGTCAGCTGCCTCTTCCTATTTTGGAACTCTTCGGTAGTACACACTCATCACTCCACCGAGAATCGAATCTACAATCTTTAGTTTACAGGACGAGCTAGTCAACCATTCAGCCACTGTGATGGAGACCAGTTACCAATCAATTTTAACTTTGGCGGCCTGTTTGACATCTGGGCTACCTTTTTCGTGCATCTACATATTGCATCTAATAAGTCATGTTTTCATTCCTAATTTTAATAAAATATGATCACAAATCGCATAAAATACAGTAATTCATTCATTAAACGTTTTAAACCATATGACTTTCATGCAACTAATAATGCATCTAATAAATCTAAGAGAAAACATCATGCTGGCTGGCAGCGTGCACTTAAACAGACACCTTTATATCGTACAACCATTCCTGTTATTGTCACTTCAAACTGCCGTTCACTTCCCAACAAAATTATGCATCTCCAGTCTCTCTTATCATCTGATACTTATCACAATACGGCGATTGTTGCATTACAAGAAACATGGCTCCATGAACTCTATGATGACAATCTGGTTTCCCTAAATGGTTTTACATTGTTTAGACAAGATCGACTATGCTCCAGAAAGAAAAGAGGTGGAGGTGTTGCAACTTTCATTCATTCTCAATGGTCAACTTCAAATAATGTATGTTTTTCTTACTCTAATGACTTTATTGATTGTATAACGGTCAAATGCCGCCCGAAACACTTATCCAAATTCAAATACGTCTTCATCTCTAACATTTATGTTACTCCTGGCTGTTCTGCATCTGATCTATCTGATTTTGCTGATGAATTCACTGAATTCGCCGTTACACATCTTGAAAACTCTTTATCAGTTGTCACAGGAGATTTTAACTGCTGTGATTGTTCTTTCCTCGTATCATTAGGTCATGCCAATATTGTTAAATTCCCTACTCGACTTGATAAAACCCTTGACCTGGTGTTCATTAATGATGAGGAAATATATGAAGTACGCCGACGTGCTCCTATCATGAACTCAGATCATTGTATTATTCGGATATTACCTAAGATATACAGCAGATCTCACTTTAATATCTTCTCAAATCTGTCCAAGAGAACACAGCAAAGGTGTTACTCACAAGAAAATATGCTCAAACTAAGATGTATGCTAAATGACACTAACTGGGAACTTTTCAACGAACACAAACTGGATGATACTATTTCCAATTTGACTGACTATCTTAAATTCTGTCTTGATATATGCTGTCCAAAACAGATAATTTTCAAAAGAATGGATCGTTTTTCTTCCCCTCATCTCAAAAAACTTCGTAGAGAAAAAGAGAAGCTGTACAAGACAAAGAATAAATCTGGTCTTAAGAAGATAAACACCCAAATTAAATCTGAAATCAAGAGACTAAACAACATTTATAATCAAACAATACTATCTTGTAAAACCTCAGAAAACATATGGAAGCTTTTTAGAGAAATTACTGGTTGTGGTAAGCATAATAATTTTGCCTCTTCTATTGATGTAAATACTCTCAATAGATCTTTCATCCGCCCTCCAAATGTCCTTTCTGCCTTCAATTTAACTAATAACACGACCAGTGACTTTCATCGTTTCAATACTTCTGATGTTCTTAAATGTTTGAAATCTCTTAAACCTTCCCAGAGTCTAGGCCCTGATGGTATACCTGCCATTGTTTTAAAGAAATGTGCTGATATTTTAAGTAACCCACTTACAAGCATTTTCAATACTTCTTTTTCTAATAATAATGTACCTTCTCTGTGGAAAGATATTAAAATCATCCCTGTACCCAAGTCTGGTTCTGGAGATAGTGTTAAGTTTAGACCAATTGCCATTACCTCTCCTTTCTTGAAACTGATGGAGAAATTACTCTTACAAAAACTCATTCCCTCCCTAAGCTTCTCAAATGATCCAAAGCAGTTTGCTTACAAACAGGGTAGAAGTACTTTGGATGCTGCTGCTGTGTTTCATCACAACATTGTATCCTCCTTAGACAAAGGGGCCAAGTATGTCCGTTGTACTTTCCTTGATTACACATCTGCTTTTGACTCTGTACCTAGAGGCCTTTTGTTAAACAAGCTTAGCCTTACACAAACTGAGTCCTGGGCTATCAACTGGCTGCACTCTTACTTCTCCAATAGGATGCAGTACACGGTATATAATGGTGTAGCTTCCTCTCCTTTGCTTACTGAAGCTGGTGTTCCTCAGGGTGCTGTTCTCTCGCCGTTTCTCTTTTCCTTCTTCTTACATGACTTACCTCTCTCAGACGAAATCAACTTCGTCAAATATGCAGATGACCTGACTGTTTCGCTTCCCGTTAAGTCTCAGTCAGACTGCTTCAAATTAAATAGCTTCCTGTCGGACATCAGTCAGTGGTCTAAAATAAATGGCCTAACGCTGAATCCCTCAAAATGCCAGACTGTCGACTTCTCCTTTAGGCATAAACGAGATCTACAAACACTAGTAAGCACTCATGATGTCTGTAGAATCGAGGGGACTATAATTGAAACAAAGTCTAATGCAAAATACCTCGGATTAGTTATATCTTCCGACCTTACTTGGTCATCTCATATCCAAATGATTTCCAAGAAAGTGTTTCGTCTAACCTACTACATTAAGAAACTCAGACTAACTGGAGTCCCTCAACCTCTGCTTACACAATTTGTCAACTCTCGTATCCTACCTATTCTACTTTACTGTTCCCCGTTAGTCTTTCCTGGGTTACTGAAAAAGGATTATACCATCCTGAGAAGGATGTTGAAGGTAGTTAGCAGGACTAGCGGTGTAAAACTCAGTCAGCTCGTCACAACATTAGTGGATAAGCATCTGAATACATGTGAGAAATGGTCTAAAACCATACTCTCTGACCCCCAACACCCCCTCTATTCCCAACTCTCTCCCTGCATCTCATCAGGTAGAACCAGAAATCAGTATAAAATAATATATGCTCGCACAACCAAGTATAGGAACTCAACGATACCATATTTGGCCCGTGTTCTAAGTGACAGAGACAATGTTAGACGTGAAACCTATGACTTGCTTTGTTGTTAATAACATAATTTTGGCCCTTGTTTTTTCCCCCTTACACTCTCTTATTTGTACTCTATAGTGAACAACCTTCTTAAACATACTTAGCTGCTTAAAATTATTATCATTGGCTTACATTTTTATTCTTTATTCTATTCCTTCTTTGTACATCTACTGGGTCCGACTATATTATCACTATGATTATTAAAAATTGTCCCGTCATTAACCATCATGTAACATTAGTTTTGTGGTTGTTCTTTGTTCGGCACTATTTAACTGACAATCTTGTTTGTTATTGCCACTATCACCATCTTAAAAATTTTGTATTATGCATGATTCCTCACACTGCCACTACAAACAACCGCATTAGTACTGACAAAAAAAAAACCTGAAATGTTTATCTTATGATTGCTTAGTGTTGTTCAATCAAATTAACTGATCATCTTGGCTATAAACATTTTTTTAAGAACATCTCATAATTTCCCGTATGATTATAGCTGTTACTGTTCACCACGCATACACATATCGTAGCTTCCACTAACTAATACTGAAATATTTTTTTTCATTATTTGTGTTCGTCTTCTTTTTTACTCAGTATTTTTATTTGCATTTTTTTTGGTTATTTCTGTTTCTTTTTTTTGGTTTTTATTATATTTTATTTTTTTTTATAATACTCCTTTTAAATGTACGATGAAATTAGATGCAATATTGTAGATATGTGCTGAAAATTCCACACTGTACCACAAGTACTGTTTCTGGAATAAAGCGAAATTGTTATGTTATGTTATGTTATGTTAACTCCTACCACTTCGCAATATATATAGTTCAACTGGTAGTTAATGTCATCTGTGAGTACCTTTTCCTACACCAAACTAGGATGAAACAACTTTCGAGTACTTTCGGGACTTTTAAATGGTTCGCCAAGTGAAGTAAGTTAGTGGCAAAACTTATAATCAGTCAAATCCCTGCAAACCATCACTTCAAAAATTAAGCTTAATTAACTGACTATAAAGAATGAATTCTTGTGCTATATACTATCAAACAAATAGCAAGTTTTGGTTTGTAGGGATTTGATTGGTTACAGGATTTCATCATGAGCTGACAATAGTTTGAGAACCATTTGAAAACCTGGGAGTACTGGACAGCTTAATGGTATACGAGCTCGCCTTGAAACCAGAAGGTCCTGGGTTCGAACCCCGGCGATGGATGCGTACTGATGAAGAGTCCCAAAGCAGGACGAAACAGCTGTCCAGTACTCCAAGGTTTTCCAGTGGTTTTCTAACTAATGTCAGCTCATGATGAAATCCTGTAAACAGCAAGTTTATTATGGACTTGCCAGCGATCAATGTAAATTATGCACATTTTTAATTCTTTGAGTATTTCACTGTTTTATTATAAAGTGAAGTGCAAATCTACCTAACTGTTAAAGAATATCACAGAAGCGTTTCATCTTCATTCTTTTGTAATAATTAAACGCCTTAACTCTTTCTAAAATTATAATGTAAATATATATATATATATATATATATATATGCATATATATGTACATCTACATTAATAAGCTTAAACCTATACCTACAAGTATATATATATATATATATACATGTATTAAGTAATGAGATGAATTTACAAGGTAAGGTTTGATAGTAGCATATTTATCAGGGTGGTATGCAAAATGACACAAATAAAGACTGATATAACAATGTGGCTGAATGGTATGCCAGCTCGCCTTATAACTGGAAGATCCTGGGTTCGAAACCCACTGGGTGAGTACCGCCGATGAGTCACAAACTAGGACGAAACAGCTATCCAGTGCCTCCTGGTTTTCAGTGATTCTCTCAGTGATATCAATCGGTAGGCAAACTTGATAAATGTTTGTATATATGTGTGTACATGTCAAATGTGACACAAAATGTGAACCTCAGTAAATAAATAAGCCACTTCAGAGCTGAATTAGGTATTATTTTCCCTTATCATTAAGGTGAACAAATAAAAATGGTGGAACGAATGAGCCTACTCACGTTATCGTTATTGTACATCCAATGACAAAAACGGTGATGAATACTATATTGTTTCTACTAAACCTTATCATTTAATGGCTTTAATTATCAAAGACGATATGCACTAAATCAATAGTACTACTAATGTCAGTGTACTCATCAATATTCGTTTCTTTTTAGTTAATGATATGACATAAAGTCCCTTAATATAAAAACACTGTGAAAACAGTAACTTCAGGTTTGAAACAAGGCTTCTATCCTTGTCTTATCACAAACTAAGTTATATTTATGTCTAAACCGAAAAGTTATATCGTGCTAGAAATATGATTAGGAATGGTTACAGGATTTCATCATGAGCTGACATTAGTTAGAGAACCATTAGAAAACCTGGGAGTACTGGAAAGCTGTTTCGTCCTAGTTTGGAACTCTTCATCAGTACGTACCCACTGGGATTCGAATCCAGGACCTTCTAATTACAATGCGAGCTCGTATAAAATTAAGCCAGTACTTCCAGGTTTTCCAAAGGTTCTCTAACTAATGTCAGCTCACGATGAAATCCTGTAACCAATCAACCAAATCCCTGCAAACCAACACTTGAATATGATTAGGAATGATTTATGATGGCTTTGATTGATATAGTGAATCTAATGCTCACTCCCTGTGCACTGTTCACACTTTTCAGCTCATTTTTCCACTGTTGTCACATAATGCAGATGGTGCAGGATGAAACAAACTTGTTTTGGTGCACATGCTTGTTTACAGTGGTCACCAATCACAGTGACAATGATAGTTACATTTACAACCATGATCTAATTATTCACTTGAGGACTGGCGGCGGCGGTTCGGATGCACCACACAATAGGACATATTTCACTATCCCATTTCCATTTATATCCTGTGTACTTGGTTCTGCTGAAAACCGCTTTTCAGTTATCAATTTGATAAGTGTAGCAATGCATAAAGTAAATTACCTGATTATGCTATCTTGAAGTCATTAGATGTCTACTGCGAGGCATACATCGTGTCTGCATTGTGATCACTAAACTTAGCTGTATATAGAACTTTTGTACACTGTGACATTATTTAGCTTAATGCGATAAAATTGAACGGAGCTTAATTTAATGCTACCAACGCACATTTACAATCATCACGATTGTAGGGAGGACTCAGTCTCCCACTCCAAATGGTTGTTAGTCAGTCAGATATCAAAGAACAATGTTCATCCTGGAAGTCAAAGAAAAATAACCCAAGCAATGCAGTTTGAGGGTCAACTGAGTGAGGCACTAGCCTGGGAACTCCTAGTTTGAACTGAAATTTGCATAAAATAACAATAAAATCACCGGATCCCTTTTTATTAGCCACTAAAAAAATTTTATCGACTGTTTGTTGTGCGCCGGTGGCACAGTGGTTAGGACTCTCGCCGACCATGCACATGGTCCGGGGTTCGATCCCCTGCCGAAGTACACCTGATATCCACGGTCGGCTTGCGAAATTCGGGTACCGATATCACATGCTGAAAATTCCATACTTCTACCAAAAATACGGTGTGATATCAAATTGTAATCAAAAATAAAATTTTAAAAAATATATCATATCATTATATATATATATATATATATATATATATATATATGATCTTACTTTCATCGTCAACAATGCAAGTTGTTCAGTATCCACAATGTCACTGAAATCAAACAAGAAAAACACAGATTGATTTTAAATAATTACTGAATACAATAAAGTATGAGATAAAATTTATTGTAAGAAGCATTGTAAGGCAGCTACCAACTCAAAGTTTGAACGAGACCTTCAGTGCCTGGAATCATTCTACACCTTTAACCTACCAGTAGAATTAAATACCTTAGATAACGTGCTTCATTGCTTCCTGAGTGTCTGAGAAATCAAGTAATCATTGCTAATTGGGTCGGAAAATTACTGACCAAATATTCATTTAAATGTATTACTGTGGTGAGAGGTATCTGCTAACCAAAGTTGATAGACGGCAATTTACGTCATTTTATTTGGTGGATGGTGACTATCAGTGGAATCCAGGATGCGCATTTCGTCCTGTTCGGGGCTCGTCTTCGGAATGTACCTGCATTCCCCAGTGAGTGGTAACGTTTCCATTGAGGTTCGAACCCAGTGCCCATAGTTTCAAACACCAAAGTGTTATCCACTAGACCACTTGGGCCAGGACAACCACCTCTTGTGCACTTCGGTCCAGTCAATCGACGGGAAAATCTAAAATTCAATTGAATAAATTTACGTCAATGTTTACTTTCCAAATCTTGGTGTGGGTGGATACGATTCGAAGATATACGGTCTGACCTTCGAAGAAATGGACACAAAGAGATGACAGATTAACTTTTAACGACAAAACAACCAATCAGAAGACGCTGTTTCTCTGCTAGTAATAACGAATAATAATATACATAAAAATATCTAAATATCTGTTGATTTTTTCAATAAACGATCTGTTGTCTGGTCCTTGTCTTCTGTCCTTACATTTTCACTATCGTTTCACTGTAATCACCGGCCGACATGCTCATTTATCATTCGAAAAACGAAAACTTAGTGTCCATCTATCATCATATTGTATGGCTATCTATCAAGCCTAATTATACTGAAATATAAGGAACGGAATTAAGTTTTAGTCAGTGATCAGGTTATCTGAACAGCTAAGGCTGGACTGCGCCGGTGGTTTGACTCCTAATGCGACCTAAGCTTTAGTTTCCTCTGCAATTATCACCCATTAAACCAACATCAGACTGCCAGTTAAGACTATCTAAGGTGATCACAACATCAATATCTTCCATAATATTGCACCAGAAGTCACAATTTTGTCCGGCTGAGAAAGTCGCGTTATTCAGAAAATACGATAAATTTGTTCTCTAATATGAAACAAGTTTATCACTCAATCAAATGAACTGTAGTCAAGATTTGACAGAATAGTTCTATAATATTTGGGCGCCGAGTGAGAAGTAGACATTGTAAAAAATTATATTTGTAAAATCTCAGCGATATTGAAATGAGTAATTCCAACGTTTCGTTCGGCAATCTGGTCCGAACTTCTTCAGGGAAATTAATCGAAATTAACATAACAGGTTTATATATAAGAGGAACATCTTTAGTTTTTAAAAACCTTGTCCAATCATGATTTATAAAACAAATATTAACAAGTATAATAAACAAAATTGTACGAGTTGTGATCAAAATTTGACCTCAGACTAAAACTAAAGATGTTCCTCTTATATATAAACCTGTTATGTTAATTTCGATTAATTTCCCTGAAGAAGTTCGGACCAGATTGCCGAACGAAACGTTGGAATTACTCATTTCAATATCGCTGAGATTTTACAAATATAATTTTTTACAAGTTTATCACTGTTTCAATATCAATGCAGAATTTAAAAAAACCTCAGCCGACTAATATAATGTCTTATAAGCGTTTTTAAAACAAATGATGATGTGATATCTACCATTTTCTCAGCTGATAATTGAACTGAACATTGTGTATACCTAAGTGATGATTGATGGATTACCATCTTTAAGTTTTTGGAAAAATAGATTGATTGCGACATTAGTTACACGCAAAAGACTGGTTGACTCAATGTTAACGTTTTTGTCAATAAAAACTCTTGAGACGGTTTGTTCTCATAATTTAAAATATTTACTGTTAAGGCATTCTAACATAATGCATATAAATCAACTGTATATTCCACCGTTTATTTTCAATTTTTCTTATGCTAAAGTCACTTCCAAAAATAATGTTATGAATTTTCGTATCTTTAGTAATCGTTAGACGATTATATATATATATATATAACTCCTAACTTGTATGTCAGGCGCTTAATGTAAACTTGCTTCAGACGACTGCATTCCTTTTAGTCGAAAAAGGAGTTTGATTTGATGACGACTAAGTTTTAGCCTTACAATTAGACTGAAAGCTATTTTATTATCATTTTTTTATTTATCATTTTTATACGACCTTGGCGGCCTTCTGAAATCTTGGGATACCAAATACCTTATATATTACAAATCATGTTGCATCTAATAATTCAGTTTTTCATATTGAAGACAGTCGTAGTGAAGACACAGACGAATATTAGGGGCTGAAAGCACTTAGATGAAAGATTAATAAAGATTCTATACAAATTGATGATTTTTAAGCAGAGACATGAATTATGCAGGTAAACATTTCAAAGTGTACACTACACTGTAGATGGTGATACTAACACATGGATAATTAAAACTTTTCATAAATGTTAGACAAAAGAATACTTAGGCATATAAAGTGAGAAATAATGAGAATATCAGGCGGTTTAGTGTTTTTCTGCGTTTTACCTTAAAGTTAGTAAGATTTACAGCGTGAAAAGATGAAGGCAAGAAGTTATCGTCTATAAACTAATTTGAGAATATAAAATGTTACTCTCTTTGATACAAAGATGCTTTCCGAGCTGAGTTGACAGTAATAAGTCTGTAAGTATTACAGATCCATGAAAAATTCCCATTGGAACATATTGAAAATGAAAACAAGTCATTCAGGGTAGAGTATCTTTTTCGAAGAATTTATTATCAAGGTTGAATATAAATTTGCTATCAAGAAACCAACAACTGAATGCAGAATTCGTCGATTGAAAAAGAAACTTGACTCGAGCACTTGTCACTCGCGTTCTCGACTCATATGCAGTCCTGATATTATGGGGAAGAGTTAAATCCTATAACTAAAAATTCCAATGGAAAATGGGTGTCCACTATGTTTAATAGACAAGATTATACAGTTAAAACCTATGAAAGGTGATTTTACGTCTGTAACTAAGAAAATGTTGTACATAAACCTTGAATTTACAGGTGACTTAGCTGCAGATATCCAGAAAACAAAGATCACACAGTGTCTGAAAATGACATTCCCTGCAGTATCCTTGTGAACAGCCTTTTTTATGAGACCATCACTGTTCAATAACCTGAAGGACAAGATCCCACCAATGACCAACCCTATGTGCGTTTATCAATTCATCTGCCCTTGTGGAAAGATGTATGTCAATCGCTCGACACAGTTTCTTTTCTAAAAAGCCGCAAGAACACTATCCTGCGTGGTTTTCAAGAAGTGGAACTGGAGCTACAAACAGCACAATAATTGAAGAACTGGTCAGTACTGACCGTCTGATTTCTATACCCTCTTCCTATAAATTTGTCTACAAGAGGAAAAATCATTTTTATTAATACATGTCATGAATATGCCACTGTGCATTTTGATAATGAATTCTTTGAAAAGAGACTCTTAGCTGAGTAATCAACTCTTGTTTAGATCCAACAAATATGTGATAGTGTGAAATATTCCCATATTATGAATGAAAAGTCAATCTGAACGAAGAATATTCTTTTCAATAATTTCTCTTCAGGTTCTTACAATTGTAAAATATAATATTTGCGAGAACGGATATCCAGAGAAGTTCATTAAAGCCAACATAGGTTATAATAGTCGTAAACATTAACTGACAACTGTGGAGAAAAAGCCTTTGTTTTTACGTCTCCAATTAAAGGGAGATACTCCTGCGGAGATTCTATCCCAACGTTTAACCAGGGCGATCAAGAAAACTTTCTACTCTGCACGTCTGTGTCTATCCTTCACTAGCCGTCCAATGTTCACCCAGCAACTCAAAGATATCTTACCTAACCTTAGCTCTTCTTCATGCATATACCATTTCAGCTGTTCCTGTGGTTCAAGTTATATAGGGCGCACGATTAGGCAGGTTCGTCTACGGGTTCGAGAACACTTACCAGCTTGGTTAAGCGGGGGGGGGAATTAAGTGCACAAAAAGCTCGATACTGTCACACTTGGTCGATACTGGATATCGCATTGATGTCAAAACAGCTTTCAGGGTTATATACCGAATTCCGAAGTTGTTATCACGTACAGTTTGCTTACGTCTCCCATACATAGCTGAAGCTGTTGCAATAAGATCGACTAAACCGGAACTGTGTATCCAAAAAGAAGACGTCCAGACGCTGTTCCTACCATGGCCAACCTTGGATTGAAGATTTTTCTTCTCACCAAGAGCGCTTCTTCCCCTAAACCCTCTTGGTTTTTTTTCTTTTCTTTTTTACTTTGCTTATTATTATAAATATTATTATTACAGTTATTATTATTATTCGTCATAATTTATGCCCTTTATGCAAACATTCCCTCAATACTATCGAATTTTCGTTTATACGGACTTATTATTAGTGATACTATCTGTTTTCTCAATATATGCCTCCACCTGTTTCATTTAACATATTCGTTATCTCACTATGATCCTCTCATTGCAGTCTTACTATCTCCTGTTTAACTCAGATGACTTTGTACTAGCCACTCACCTGACACCTTCGATAACCTTGAACTGATTTGTCAATTTTCCTACCCCACACTCAACAATTCTATTATGATTAATCGCCACCATTGTCTTCCGTTTTACAATATTTCTAATCGATTTCAGCCTAGCACGTTTGTCACACAAATATGACTATTTATTTTGACACCCCATAACTAATCTGTTATTCTACGTTAAAATTGTATCCCCCGCATAAGTGGCCTTTACTGTAACGACAGGAATAAATATTACATTTTATAAGCGTAAGAACCTGAAGAGAAATTATTGAAAAGAATATTCTTCGTTCAGATCAACAAGTATCTGTTTTGCC